CCCCGGCAGCAGCAGAGGATTGTGTGTGTTTCTCACTGCAGTGCGGTCAGAGAATGGAGGGAGTGGAGTGTGTTGTTCCTCAGCTGTGAGGAGGTTGCAGAGGTGCAGAGAGAGACACGCAGAGCTGCCCGAACGTTCAACATTCACACGCCCCGGAGTTTATTCGGCTGTGGCCCCGGGCTCCACACACACCCAAGACACAGATGCTGAATGTAAGCTTAAGTGTTTAGAAAAAAAACATGCACACACACACACACACACACACACACACAAACAAACACAGCACATGCACACGTTGGAGCACCTCTGGGCCTGTTCTTGCTACTGTTGGATCCTGTCACACATCACAGGCATCCTGATCAGGCCAGCAGCAGCAGCCAACAGTTTGCAGGGCAAAAAACGGAAAAATGTTTTGTGGGTTTTCGCCTTCGTGCACAATATTATGTTGGCATATCCAAAGCATTTCCATTCTACCGAAAATAATGCCCATAATGCCTTAAGCTAATGCTTGTCTGAATCACTGACAAGTTGCTGCAGTGACTATATGCTGTTTTATAGAATGCACTGTAACACACAAAAGAAAGTCTACGAGATGTTAAGATCGAGGGGATAGGAAACGATCAAAGAGTGTCTGTATTGCAAATAATGTAAAAAAAACAGCAGATGCAGCCACTGCAGCTTGTGGACACTGAACCGAGGGTGTGTGGTGCGTAATTAAGGTGTAATTAAGGTGTTATTTATCGTCTTCACTGAGGAGTCATCACAGTCCCTCCAAAACAAGGTCGTATCTAAATAATAACCAATTGTTCCATTATACATCATGCTTGGTTTGTGTGTTGTCCGCCTCATTATATACTTTTTGTTTACGAACAATGGAGTAATAAACACTGACCTCTATAATACTAAATATAAATGTGATCCTGCTTAAATATTCATATGCCAACACACATTTTTGCAGTGATGTTTGCAGCCCATGCTTCTAAAACAGGCTTACAGTAGTACTAGTGTTGCGTGGGATAATAGACACCAGCGGGCAGAAACAACAGGTGGGCACAGCGCCATAGGAGCAGAATGAGGGCAGCACAAAGAGGGAAGGAACAGGGTGTGTGCGTGTGCGTGTGTACTCCATTATTGACTGTTTTCACGCAGCTGTGATAATAAATACAGACTGAATCACATTAAAAGTCAGCTCCGGGGGTTTAAGTACATGCCGCCCGAAATAGCACTTAATCGGTGGCTTACCTGCGGTTGTATCGTGAGCGCGACCAGAAAAATCACAGTCCGCTGCAGGTGGAGGTGTCCCCGGTGTCCGTCACTCCTCGTGCCTGGCCTCGCAGTGATCTTTCCGCTCCCGCTTCTGGGATCGAGCCCAGTTACCCTGTGCGCTCCTGTGCTCTCCATCCCTGCGTCCGGGGACCGTGTTGTGCGCTTTGGCGGTGTGTCCCCCTCCTCCTCCTCCTCCTCCCTCCCTGCGTCCGTCCGTCCGCCCAGCTCTCCTCCTCTCCGGTTCTTAAACCCTGAAACTCACGCAGAGCCACTTCATCGCGTCCAGGTCAGAGAAACCATAACTATCTGTCTCCGCTTGGATTTATCCCCCCTACCCACCCACCGACCTCATAAAACGCACACCTGATCAACCCCTTGCCGCTGTGTCCGGGGTGGATTTCCACTGGGAATGACACACAAACACGCTCCCCTTTGCGCTGTATTCCTCCCACCAACTGCGTTAAGAGGCTTTAAAAGGTCCAATCTGCCGGCTCACTTGACTTGAACTCTCATCCAATTGAGCTCACACTCTCTCTTCTTCTTCTTCTTCGGTCTCTCTTCAAGCCTGGTTAACGCACAAAAATACTTTTAAAAAACCCCATCTATGTTCGTCCTACTTCGTGATGAGTGCATGAAAGCCGGCACCGAAGTTGCGCCTCTCCAGGGGAATGATTTCACTTTGCGCTTCTCTCATCTAAGCCGGTGGTTGGTCAGTTGTTAACCCGATACGAAGCCCGGCGGCGACAGAGTCAGTGTGGGAAACAATGAGAGAGAGCGGGGGAGAGAGCGGGGGAGAGAGAGAGAGAGAGAGAGAGAGAGAGAGAGAGAGCATGGAGGGTGTGTCCTGAGGCAGGGAATATCCGTCTTTCAGCTCTTGTCCGGATGGTTCCCAGCGCGCACCAATTCGCGTATCCCTTTCTCTCTCTCTCTACACTTTGCGCAACCTGCGGACCAACCCTCCCAAACTTTTTTCTTCTAAGTATGTCACATGTACACATGGGATTGTCCCGAATGCGTTTCAGTTCTCATCTGTGGGTTTACCGTTTCCTCTGTACCTTTTGTGGCACCTCGCTGGTTCGTCTCCTTCGGTTTCAGAGCGCTGCTGTCCCGCGGCTCGCTTCAAAGCGCCGCCGCGCCAATTAACTGCTCGTAACAGTTTTGCTCAGGCTCGGGTGGCCTCTGAACGGGAACGTTTCTATGGGGGTTTGAAGCTGAAGCCCGTCGTCATTAAAATACCACTCTGCTACGGCTGGTGACACGAAAGTGACAAATATATTGACACAAAACAAACGAAACTGCAGCTTTGGAGGGTTTCTAATGAAGATGATAGTCATTGCGCGCGTGATGGCACACGTGGCACAGGTGCCCACACACGCACCTGCATACTGATTATCATAACCACATTTATGATTAGACTTGTCGGCTGTGGGAACATGCCGCCGCTTTATGATGCCGCGGGCTGCAATAAATACTAACCGGGTGAGCGCATGGATATAAAAGAGAATTGTGGGGCATCTAGGCTTCCTTTGAATATTGGCACCGGTCACATGGCATATTTTCCACATCTGACTTCCGGAGCTCGTCTTGTTGGATGCATTGACCTCCACACAATGTACCTTCTTCATCGGAGGAAATCTAATGAGATTCTGCCTCCCTCCTCCAGAGCTTCCCTGACAACCGTTGGTGTTTTCAGCGGCCCGGCGCTCTGCAGTGACCCCCGGAGCAGAACAGAGGGCTCTTAAGGAGCAGAGGGGTTGATTTGCATAGCGGAGCAGTGACCTCCAAGACATGAGCTGAATTCTAACGAACCATCCGGACCAGAAACACGCAGATATGACTGGGTCTGCTCAGAGGCTGCTGTGTGCGTGTGCGTGTGTGTGTGTGTGTGTGGTTCACCTGAGCCGGACTCAACAAAAACCAGCAACCTTCAAACTCTGTGGGTCTCGTTACCTAGAGTGTATTTGGCACCATCTAATGGTCACATGTGCCCTTTTGGGCAGAATCACCATTTAAGTCTTAAGATAATATAGCTGGGAACTTCTGGTGCACATTGTCAAAAATTAAAGAACTATCTTTTCTAAAGAGTTAAACTCCGACACAAAGTTTTAACGTCAGTTATAAACATTGTATTCTGAAAATATTGATTTTGGATTAGCTTGTTTTTTGATAGCTGCACAAATTTCAGAATGCCATATTTGGTATCAACCGTCACCAGCTGATGTTTGAGCTCACTCACACACACAACTCCCAAACCTAATCCACCGGATACGTAGAAATTGCCTTTCAGACCCTGCAACTGAAAGATCACTGTGTTGGTGAATTGGAAGGCACTAGGCGTGTTGCCAAGAGCATGCGACACTCACTCACACATGGCGCCCTTGTGGCTAAGGTCAGCGCTTTCTCAAGGCAAAATAAGGGAGTGTGGAAAGGCTTGGGAAACTACAGAAGAATGTGCATTTCTGTGTACACTGTTGAGCTGACCTGAAGACAACTACTCCGGCCACAGTTTAAGTCCACAACAGGGAGTCCCAGTGTGTGCCGGCCGCTGCGCAGTGAGTCTAAATTAAGCTTTTCAGGCTGGATTCACACATCACTCTGCCCCGCACTCATGAATCCAGCCTTTGAGGGGAGGTGGTGGTCCTTATTGGCCTGTAGTTACTCGTGTGTGAAGGCCTTTGAGGGTGTGCTGCACAACACACAGCAGGCATTTACTAATTGGCAAACTCAAGCCAATTGTTCCCATTTGCGTTCATTAAATATCACATCAGTTTACTCAGTGTTTATGGAAAGAGGTCTACAGCATAATCAGAATCCTGACGCGTTTAATTGTTATGCTAACCAATACTTCAATAACTCCACTACATTATGAAGAAAAGTACCGTTCTATCCACTTCACTAAATATACCTGACAGCTTTGATTACTAGTTAATTAGAAAAATATTTTGAAAAGTTACAGCAATGTATATAAATTACAATGCAGTTTTACAGTGAATTTAACTATAGATTTATATCTGTGTATTATATATATATATATATATATATAAAATTCTACAATACAAAAAAAAAAAAGGAAAAGCTTGATGCCTCAAGACTGGCCAGGTAATTGTGTAATCCAATTTATTTTTGTAAATAAGTAATCCATCTCAAAGGATAGATTTATTTTGTTCGGGCAATGTGTACTTCAAAGCACAAATTGAATGAGACTCCAATTGGTTTTCTTTAAAAGCGAGAGGGATATGATGATTTGTATCAAGGCCCATAATGCTCTGAACATTATCAGAGCTGGACCACTTTCTAATAAAATATGTAACCAAGGTCTAAGAATTCAATTTTCTAGAAATGTTGTGGAGAATTTGGGAGTAAATCAGTCTTGAGATCGAGTCATGCCAAGGAGTTTTGTTGCATGACATAAATACCCTTCTCTGCCTTGCTACATTTCCCTTTGAGCTCCACTGCAGAGTCATAAAGACAACCATTATGATAATCTACTTTGTCCTCCAGAGGACTCAGGGTCGGCTGTTTTATGATCCAAGAAGCTACACAAGCAATTTCTTTAAATAAGCCGTACTTTGAGTTTTCCATACGACCCCTGCATTAACAGATTACTGCTGAAAATTCAAAGTTTCATCAAAATTCATGACAAAGAGCGAGTAACAACAACACACCTCAACATCAGAGGTATAATAAAGTAGGTTAGGTTGAAACATAAATACATAAGAAGTGAGGCAGAACACCGTCTCAAAGGAAATTTATTTTAATTATAAAAACAGAAAAGCTCCAGGTACAATGTCTGGTAAACCAGACCCTGGGTGCAATGCTTTATGACAACAAAATACAGACGACACATCAAGTTGCTCGATGAAAAAAAAAAAAAAAAAAAAGTAAACCAGCATTGATACTGATCAATAGGATGAAGAACTCCTCCATACATTTACCTGACCGTTGTTGTAAGTCAAGAGTTCTGCAAGTGTGGTACGATAATACATATCAACTTGATGCAAAGGATGTATACTTACATACTTACATGTAATCCTGAACGAAGGGGGAAAAAAGAAAAAACACCGCCTGAACTGCACTCTCGAGCGTCAATTTCTAAAAACGTTTCATAGTTTGGGTCACTGCTGTACATTTCTAAAAATACCTGCGTGTAAGAAAAAACACCGGACTGGAAAGAAGTTATTTCTTAGCGAATGAGATCTTCATGGCGTTCGCTTGTGTGATCTTAAAGCCTTGTAGTGCATCTCGTGCAGCGCCGGCCTGCACCTCGTTCTCAAACTCCACAAAGGCGATGTCGTGACGACCAGGGACCAGACGAACCTCCTTGAACCCGGGGAACCTGAATACACAACAATACAGTCAGGCATCCAATAAATGGATGAATACAGAAGTGCAAAATCAAATGCAGAGAGGGAGTCGTTACTAACTGGTTGAAGAGCATGGAGAGCATGAGTTCGTTCGTCTCCTCTGGCAGGTTGGTGAGGAAGAGGATGTGATTGGGAGGATTTTCTGCAACCTGTGAGGATGGACGACAGAAGAGATCAGAATAGAATGACCAGGCCAATATTAAAAAAAAATTAAAAAAATATCGATCGATAGATAGATAGATAGATAGATAGATAGCATACCTGTTGGGGCATTTGTCCAGGCATCTGTCCAGGCATCATCTGTCCAGGAGGCATGCTACCAGGGGGCATCTGACCAGGCACCATCCCCGGAGGAGGCATCATGCCAGGAGGCGGCATATAAGGCGGCTGGCCCGGCATGTGCATCATACGGGGAGCCTGGCTCATGGGAGGCATTCCCTGAAGAGGGAAGTACAACAGCGACGAGCGCATCAGTTCCATCTTATTCCTATTTTTGCACCCTACATATACCATCAATGACCTCCACTCTAATCTAATCTGGGGGCACTTGTATGCTACCGTTTAATCATTAATTCTAAAAACTGATGAACAATAGAATCCCTATTGGTCTACTTACAGGCATGGCAGTGGGTACGCCAGCAACCATGGGCACCGCAGCTCCTGGTAAACCCTTCTTAGCTGCTGCTGCTTCAGCTCCTTTGACCTTCTTGATCCTCTCCTTTTTACGATCACGCTCCACAAAAGTCCCCTTCATTTTAGCTATGATGTCTGAGTCGATCTTGGCATACTGTATACGCTGGAAGAGACAGGTGAGTTAGTTAAGACCTCATGTGCCTTCAGAGGCTACAGTTTATATGCAGTTGTTATATTGTGTAGATCATTTGTGCCATCTTTAAATATCTGTAAAGTGACTTGGTATTCACTGTGTGATTAACCTACCATGGGTTTGTCGTAGAAAGGAAATCCCTGCATGGATCTCAGAGCATTGGAAGCACTGTTAACCTCTTTGAAAATAACAAAGGCCTGACCCTTCATCTTCAGATTACGTGCAACCAAGATGTCCAAAATCTGTCCAAACTGTGAGAAGATGGCGTACAACGACTTTTTCAACTCTGCAGAAACAAGAAAAACATGTGAGAAACCATCAGTTTGATTAGAGAGGCCCTCTGTGAGCCGTGTGTGTGTTTACTTGGAGCCAGACATGTAAAGCTAGAAGGTAACGTTAAGGATAAACTCACCATCTTTCTTGATTTTCTCATTCAAATTGTTGATGTAGATTGTATGATTGAGCCGTACATCCGGAGTGGCCATCTTTTAACCTGCGGATGAGTGGTTGGAGGGGGAAACTATTTAAATGTTCTGTATAAACCAGATAAGAGCACAATTCTCGATGAGTCGATGAGCCGCCAAGCAGCTAACGTAACAACCCTCCGGCTTGAATAACGTGGGGTGAACGCTAGCCTACAAGCTAACTACTAACGTTAGCTATAGCTAACGTCATTTAGCTCACTAGATCTAAATGTAATAATCTATCGCTTACGCCCGACGGCCCTCGTTATCACATAACGTACAAATAGGATATTTAAGTCTACAAATGGTTTTGATTAACAAGAAAGTATTTATTTGATCAGCTCGCTGTCGACGGAATACTCACCTCGAAGTGCTGAATGAAAGCCCGTGCCCTCTCAAATCCCGTGCTCTGTTCTCGCGTTAACCAAACACAGGGGCCGTTTCCGCTAAATATTGTGACCCATCAGATTTGGTGACCACCGAAAACGTTTTATTTTTATCACACTTTCTGTACTTTGCGATAGCTGCTTTTACCACACCTGGTGCCAAATAATATCGTTTAGAAAGGACCACATATTTTCACATACAAAAATGGACCCTTTCGATACCGACTGATTGACAGATTCTGATAGCTCGGGTAACACAATGTGGTGTAACACCTGTTCCTGGTCAGATGAGCTTAGCGCCCTTTTATTGCCCTTTTGAATCGTGTTTTTTTGCCTGTTAGGCAGGCAATAGTTACTCGGACACATAAATTAGCAGTGCAGCCGATATCAAAATGATGTAGTGCCATTATCCCACACAATACAGCCTATGCACTCTAACGTGGATGCAGTAGAGGGCGCTATGACCCTTTAACCGTTGGTGTGTGAGCTCATCGGACACGAAGAAGAGTCACTCTGCCAAATATGGTTAAAACCAAAACACCGTTGCTGTTAGCTCAGCTCTGCTAGTCTCAAACGTGTGTGTAGGATCTAGTGTATAAAATAGGACAAATACTTTTTGTGAGCGATTACAGTTAACAGGAGACGAACGTTGATGTCGGTTTCTCATCAAATAGCATTGAACACCGAGCAAAGATAACTTCACTAACTTTTCGCCTCGCTTGCAGGCTACAGAGCGAGCAGACTAGGAGGTAGGAGAGAGTGAAGGGTGGGCGGGTTAGGCTGCATGCATTACAATACTAATACAATTGTAACTTACCTCTTTCCAAAGATGCACAAAAATACTAACCAAAGTACCACCTCTGTCAGGGTTAATTCAAAAGGAGCTCAGTAGAGATGTCAGTGGAGTTCCCCCTGTCACCTCCTCCTCCACCTGCTCCAGGTCCACCACCTCCACCTCCAGCCTCATCCCCCAAGAAGAAGCTGTATCAGACCATAGCCAGTAGCAGAAGTGCTGTGGAGGGGAACCACACAGAGGCCCGCTTACTGCTCAGTCAGAGAGAGAGCAGGTGAGATTTACAACGAGAGATGACAACATAATTAGTTTTGCTCATTTAACCTGAACGTCAGACGTTATAACCATAGTTTGAGCACAATCGATTAGTTACAAGATTACAAGATACACATGTACAATCCAATCCAAATGCTCTGCAATAAATCCTACCTGTGTGAAGCCTACGATGTTTACTTTTCTGTTGACATTGTCACAGAGGTGTTGTCAACTCTGTTGAGGCCAGAGGCAATATGATAATTGATAATACAAAAAATTCACAGAAAAAGAAACCTGCAACTACTACGGTAATCAATTTATCATGAAAGTAATTTTTAAAGGACAAATGCCAAATATTCTTTTGCTCCAGCTTCTCAGCTGTGAGGCTTTCTTGCTTTTCTTCATCATTTGTGGTAGTTAATTGAATTTCTTCAGGTTTTGACTGTTGATTGGCCAAAACCAGCAATATGAAGAAGTCACCTGGGGCTTTAGGAGATTGTAACGACCATTTGTCACCACGTTACGACATTTTATAAACCAAACGGTTAATCAAGCACTTGAGTTGCAGCTCTAGAGGTGTTGTACTGGACTGCTTTGTATTGAAAGGTGTTCCTAATATTTTGTCCACCCAAATTTACAAACATTGAGTCGGTTGGAAAAACCTCAATATATGCTAATATGATCCTGACTCGACACTAACTACAGCCTCACTAATTAACGTAGAGTTGAATCAACGACTGACACAAAGTCAAACAAAAATTGATGTTCTAAGCCTCACAAAGAAATAATTTCTCGGCCTTTTTCACAGCAGACATCTTTACTTGTAAAAGCACTGTGAAAATGTCTCACTTGAAAACGGGCTGTTGCAGAGCTGATGAACTGTATAGTAATATAATGTGTATTTATGTCGTGTCCTTCAGTTTCAGGAAGGACCTGCAGTGGATACTGGTGAACACATATGTGCCCTCCCTCATCCAAGATGGTCCACAGTAAGTCAGTAAACTATGGTGTCAGGCCCAGATGTGCCAAGTAGAGATGCGACCGGTCGACCCCCAAGCTGTTGTCAGCTGATCGAACATGTCCGGTGACTGGTGGATCAGATTTTATTTATAAGATGATTTTATTTGCCATTTTGCCTTTATTAGATACACAGGTTACATAGACTGAAAGGGGGAGAGAGAGGGGACGACATGCAGCAAAGAGTCTGGATTCTATCCCGGGCTGCTGCGGTCAAGACTTACGTCTGGCAAAGGGAGCGCCCACGCTACCATGTTAGCTACCTGGGCGTCTCATTTCCCCAAATTTAAATTTGCCTCAATCGGCAAGTCTGACTTTTAAATAATCGGTAATCAGAATTGACCCCAAAAAATTGCAACCGGTGCATCTCTGATGTCAAGTAACACCTTGATCTACGTTTGACTGAATAGCACTTTTATAACACAAATAAAACTGTTACCAAAACTGTTCAACAGGGCTATGGCTTTATTAGTTTGACCTGAATTCTTTTCTGTTTCAAGTCATTAAACGTGATAGATCTGCCAGCTTGTGACTGAGCGTGTTGTTCATTTACTTTCAGGTGCGGTCTGGTGGCTCTGTGGATGTCCGCTCACCTCCGAAAGCCTCAGCTGAGCATCGACATGGAAACTGTCGTTCAGACGGCACTGAGCAGGGGATACACGGCGCAGGGGGAAATGTTCTCAGGTAACAAAAGTGTGTAAATGGTTTTGAGTCTATTGAGAAGGATATCGAATAAAAACATGTGGAACAAAGGGGGGTGTGTGTCTCTGTTGTAATGGATCACACATTTTTTGTTTAGGGAAATTGGAAGTTTTCTGATAGCACAATGAAGCGTTGAAGATTAAATTCTTACCTTGACATCACTGGATGTCTTCAGAAGTACAAATAGGACATTACACTCCAGATGTAGGACGTAATTAAAATGTGGAAGTTTTAACCAGTTTTGCAACTAAAATATGTTTTTTTTTTAGTATTAATTCACTCTTTATGTTTCACAAGCAACTAAAGTGCAATTTCAACTCTTTATGATGTCTGGTCTCTTTATGTTCTCATTGAGATTTTTATTTTGTCAGCTGACAACATGGCCCTGCTGGCAGAGGAGGTCTGTGGCTGTGAGGCAGAGCTGCTGTCGGGGGGTTTAAGTGGTCATAATGCTGCAGCCATCATCACACACCTGTGGGGGAGACAGCCTGTTCTCATCCCGTATCCCCAAAACAAAACAGCCACGAGGGCTGTTCTGATGGAAAGAAACTTCACTGTGTGGTTGTTGTTATTAAACTGCTACTTGTGTCATGAAAGGACATAATTCCTTGATCGTACGTACAGATATGATGAGGACTACAACCACGAGCCATGCCAGCGGAGCGGCCACAGGGCGCACTGGGCAGTCGCTTCAGGTAACTGGTAGCTCGCTCACCGGAGGGGTGTTTGATGAAGGGGGCTCAGAACAGCAGGGCTTATTGTGAAGGGTCTTGAGTTATCCCTCACTAACTGAACCAGGGTAAGTCCGTTTCATGAAGCTGCTTTGGAGCTTTTTCACTGCAGTAAACAGACAAAATTGAACTTTTGGCAGCATATTGTGGGTCAGCAGTGAGCTTCAGCGAATTTTAGGTGTGAACTCTGTCGTCTCAAATAGGACACCAGGCAGGTTATTTATTGTATATTAAGACATTAAGATAAGATATTTTTTAGGAAGTTCTCAATCCCTTTGATTATGTTAATTGGTTTGTACACATAATATACTGTAACTGCGTCCACATGTTGAAAATACTGTTGAAATACTTCAAAAATGTCCGTCTGCATTTTTAATAAATGGATTTCTGGGTGTATATATATTTTGGGATAAATTTAAGAGTAAATAATTAAAGTGAAATGTTTCTAGCTATATCTTGCTGTTAAACTTGTTTATTTGTTAATATATATTATATGGATAGCCTATTAAAAGCACAAATGAGTGTAATACTGTGCAGATATACGAGAACAACATCCACATGTCACACAATTGACACATCTATTGGCTCTGTTCCAGGTGTTCTCCTCGGTGTGGACCAGGGGAGCGTGAGCAGCGAGCACACCCGGCCTGATCCCACTCTGCCCTGGCTCTGCCTCGCCGTGGACAGCAGCTCTGCTTGTCCCGTCGGCAACGCGGCACTCAAAGAGGTTCACGTCCTGGCTAAGCAGGGTAAAAGCCTGCGCTACCAGCTGTGGAGTCTGGACAGCATAGCTCGGAGTAACGAGCAGCTGAGGACGATGGACCCTCAGAGAACGACTGACGGGACCCAGTATGTGGTTCCTTGGGGAGGGGTGGAGGCCGGGCTGGCTGGACGGGCGGTGATGCTCCACACAAGGACAGAGAAGCGGTGATACATGTGACGCAGGAGCCGGCTGTGTGGTAAAGGGCTTTACAGAGACTCACTGTATGTGCTACTGTTGTGTCGATTGTGGATCCTGTTCGGGGGAATTGAGGTGAAGATACGAGCGAGTTTCTGTAGCTGTGTTGAGCCCTTTGCAGGCCGTGTTGTGGGCAAATTAACACATAGGATGGCATTATAAAAACAAATACTGGATTTGCACTGTTTCATCAATATGTTGGGAAAAAAACTACCTAAACTGAGTGCAGTTCTTTTGGATATAGGGAATGTATCGGGGATATATGGGAATCGGTTTTTTTTTGTCATGCAGGTTTACAATGCGACACATCACTGACTGAATGGAATATATTTGTACGATAAATTGTTTGAATTCTTGATTTAATACTTTGTCATCTTGGTTCACTGCCTACCTGTAAATGTTTTGGGATATTTAGTAAAATGAAGATTCAAACGCTGAAATCAGAGTGTGTTTACAAAAGTGTGTGTGTGTGTGTGTGTGTGTGTGAGTGAGAGAGAGAGAGAGACACTGACAACAGAAAAAACATTTCTCACAACAACTCAAATTATTTCCAGTTTATTGCAATCCATGACTTGGACAAAGCAGAGAATTAATATCAATTTTCACCAGTCTGCCTGTGCAGAAATACACTGCTTTTTAAAAAATAAAAAAAAACGTGTTTATCAATCCAGTTTTCTAAATAATAAAGCCGCACCCTGTTTGAAAACCTGACAGTTTGCTATTTTACAAATATAGAGGATTCGTGGGCGAAGAAATATAATACTTTGTAAACACTAGATTGTTCCGCTCTCCCAGTATGTTTACTCTGAGGAGATGGAAAAACTGAATTCCTGAATTTGAATTCCAATTTCATGGAGTCGGGTGTTTGCGACTAACGCACACGCCCAAACACTGCTGCCTGACGCTGACTAAGTTGTTTTTACCGACCTGCTGCATTCCAGTCAAGGGATGATGACACACACATGCTCATAAGTACTGCGACTTAATATCTAAATAAAACAATGTCTCTTTGTAAACGCTCCATCCCGCATGGCAAGATTCAACCCCACAAACCAAGTGTTTAGTGTCGCTAAATGACTTACAGCAACGTCCTCGTGTTCAAAAGGGACATTCTCGTATTTGATTATGCGTCATTGTTGAATCATAAGACACGTTTGAAATTTCCAGTTAGTTAACGTTTAAGCCGATACACAAGTGAAACCTCACAAAAACCTTAAAACAGACCTGCCATTTAAATCAGGTAATTCCAGTTTCATTTCACCCTTTACGCCACTGCTTCGCTGTAAAACTCCCTGCAGATCTAAAGCAACACTGATCAGAGGGAAAGAAGTGGTAACGACAAATTAAATTCATGTTCTAAATGTCTAAAAGTCTCCATCTGTAAACCCAGCACTCGACTGCTGCTTCCCATTTTAAGACACGCTTGATTTGTTCGATGCCTTTGTGAGGATCCGTAGTGCAATAAATTCCAGACAAACATGGCCGCCAAGCTGCTTACTGTACAGTTAAATGAGAAAAACAAAGTTTCACTGCATTATCATACAAAAATCCAAATTTAGAAAACACTTGTTCTGCAAGAAGTTAAACTTTGGGATTATAGTGTAAAGCAGTTAATAGGTGGGTGAACTCTTTGGAAGAAAAATAGCAGGAGTCCACTGCACTGGAATGATCAAACAGCTTGTTCTTTAAAAAAAAGCTAGGCACAGAAATTGTACAAACAAGTTAAGGAGGTTATACCAAGGCCAAAAAAAATTAAATAAAAAAATGTATTTACACACAGAGTTTAGTTAACACGTGGTCTGACCAGCGTTGTAGTGTTGCTGTTTACTGAAACATCAAAAATGGTCCATGACAAAAAGAATCACTCCCGTTACCCAATGCTCCTCGAAGGCCTCGTGAAAAGGTTTCATACCTCTGGATGGAGTTCATGGTTGTGAGAGTGCCGTGTGCAACTCTGACCAACAGAGGGAGCTGTTGAGGAGGAAGATGAGCAACGTCAAAGCGTGTGTCTTTGCAGGAAAAAGTGACTGCCGAGGTCCATGAGTTCACACTGTCCATGTGACAAAAGTTACAATTCTGCATTCAAGTCTCCCTGTTTCTCTTCCTTCTACTGTTTGCCTCAACTCATCACAGGTCATCTGTCCCCAAGAGGAGCATCATGCATGAAGTTGGTCTTTGGCATATTCCACTTTGCAATAGAAATCCTGTGTTCATCCTCTTCTTGCACAGGTACAATGGGATAAAGACACTTGGATACTTCTCAGTTTGTGTAATCTTTTCTTAAAACTCTCCCGATCTTGTATCTCTTCCGCCATCTGGACATCAAAGTTCTATTGGAGTCTCCCTCTCATGATGTCTGTGGGAGCATAGTGCTGAAGATGCCTATGAGGTTGTCCAGGCCCCACAGGTAGCCGTCCTCCCTGTTGCCCTCCATCCAGGGAGTCCTGTGGTCCAGGGTCTGAGGTTCCGGCAGGGGAACCGTCTTCCCAAAGTCGATCATCCACACTCTGGCCTTCCCCGAGGCGTCGTGCACAAACAGCAGAGAGCTGCCCACAACCTGCGACGGAGAAACCGGTGAGACGGGTGAGTCTAGCTTTATGCGTATAAAGAAGCTACTGGCAGAACGATATCACAAAATCTTCCAACTCGGCCAACGGGTCGGTTTAGAAATCATGAGAACTGAATGAGTGTCAGTGTGTCTCACCTCGTGTGTCCTGAAAAACTGCGACAGCTCAAGGACGGATCGAAGTTCTTCCAACCGCTGCAGGTAGAGTTTCTAAGAAAACGAGAAAAATAAAGACATCAAAAAAACACTTTTATTGTATTTATTTTCCACTTAACTGTGAGTCTAAAGCCTCATGTCCTTCCTTGATGCAGTTGCAGCATAATACATTTAAACAATATTTAGATCCTACCAGCATCTAGCTAACTTAGCTTAGCATAAAGACTGGAAACAGGGTGAAGGAGCCCAAAAGTCACCATCACCTCTAAAGATCATAAATCATATATCGTTTGTTCAACACATACAGAACCTGACGTGTGTAACCAACAGTTTGCTGTTATGGAGGCGTTATGCGGCAAACCCTTTCTTGGCGAGGACCTGTTGCTAGGTAACAAGCGAAAGCTTCCTTGCTTGTTTGTTTGAAAGACGAGCCGTAACAGCAGCAGAAGTGGTAACGTACTAACGACGAGTGACCTACCAGAATCTGAGTGTTGCCAGCTACAAAGTCCTCCAGGGCCTGCATCACCTGCTCCCTGTGCTTCGTCTTCTTAAAGTTGGTGTTGCAGGTTCCATCGGCTTTCTGGAGGGAAAAAAGAAAAGATATTTGGTTCACTCCGTTTACTCTTTTATCTTTACCTACACAAGGACAATATCAACATCAAGTAATGAATTTAAAGCTTCTAGACTCATTTCAGCTTCAAACCCTGTTTCCTGCTGAGCACTCAGTGCAGTACCATCAGTATAACTACGTCTGTGTTTAGCTGAGGAGAAACAACACACGCTAACTTATTAATATAGAAATATAAGATGCCACAGCCACAGCTTGTGAAAACAAAACCGCTTGTAATGCTCAGTGTCATGAGCAGTTTGAGTTCCCGCAAAACTACAGCTATTAGTGCAACATGACAACCAGCCCTATATTTATTTTTGAAGGAACAAACATTTCCCTCTGTGTCTGCACATCCAGCCCAAACTTTAACAGACCATTTCCTCTCAAGTGTGTGTGTGTGTGTGTGTGTGGGGTCCATCCAGTGGTCAGAATGATAAATATTTACTCCCACTCGTCGGTTTACTTCTGTTAGGAACTATTTGTCTCCTCGCTAGCACCAAGTACGACAGTCAGGCATGCTAACAGTCCAGGATGACCTCTGACCTTAATGCCTTCGATGCGGAAGCCCAGAGTGGCTGTGGAGCTGAGAGTCTCCCTCCACTGCATGTATCTGGGTTTGAGCACTCCCTGCTGGGCCCTCTCCTGCTCAGTGGGGGCCCCGGGGTCCACTGCCACCATCTTCTCATACATGTCCTTCCGCAATCGCGGACGCTCTCTGGCTTTCATCAGCTCCTCCTCCAAGTACGTCCTGAAACGTAAAAAGGTTTAATATTTAATAGTTTCTTTTTTATGCGTTTCAATGATATATTTTGTTTTTCCTCCCTTTTTTAAATTTTCATTTATTTTAAAGTCTTTATTGTTGTGTATATTGTCATTTTCTAATTGTTTTAGTCTGAGCTCTAATTTTAAACCTGTTTAAATGTTTAACTTTATTGACTACAAATACAGCCATTATTATTATTATCATGTAGAGTAAATGTGATAGAGAGGCAGATAACCGATGGGGTTAAACTGTGTTAAGGCTGATATCTGTAGGAAGGTTCATCTATTTTCAAGGTAAAATGATAAAAGATAAAATGGTTTCTGGCTCAATATGATTTTGGCAAATGCTTCGCCCCACAATCACGCTGCCGTCACCCTGTGCCGAGTCTTACCTGCTGCCCATTTTACAGTCCATGATGGAGGGCGAGTCGAAGTCAGCCAGCAGGTCATCCATCAGGTTATAATCCTGCTCCTCCCGCTGTACTATCCCATAATAACCAGGCACATAGGGGTGCAATGTGTCCTTCATCAGCTTCTGTAGGCACTGCTGCTCACACTCACAGAATCGCTTCAACAAGCGTCCGTACTCGCCGGCCTGGAAGTTCCCTTTGGAGAAGGAGACGGACAGAATTAAACACTGAAGACATAATCATGCATGTGGGATGATGTTAAGCAAACTGTATACCTGCGTGGCCGGCTAGCTGCACCCATGGGTAACGCTTCTTGAAGGACACGACGAAGGGGGACCAGTGGACCATGGTCTTCAATTTCTGCCAGGACTTATTCTGGAAAAATACAAACGAGGAACGTCATTGTCTTGTTACACAAAGGCGTTGTATCGTCACACAAATGACAAATCTGAAGCTCTGACTAATCGGTGTGAGGGCTTCTCTTCCAGTCACAATTAAGCAATGAGCCAAATACAGGCAAGAGAATGATTATTCATTAAAGGAAAACACACCCTGTGGTGAGCTCAAACACACACACACACACCTCTGTAGACATTGGACCGTTCCTCCCCTTTAGCTTTGGCCAGGTGCACAACATACGTAAAAGAGTCCATTCATAAAACATTTACCAAAGCTACCCCTGCAGTGTCGTAAAACAGAGCCTTACTGTCCGAAACTGTGCGTGTGTGTGTGTGTGTAGTACGGTTATCTGTGTTGGGAAACACCAGAGCAAGGACAGTGTGCAACGGTAGCTTTGACGTCAGCAATCTGAGAGGAACATGACATCGATTGATTAGAACGTGCATGTGTGGGAAATCACAACAAACGGAAAGCCAGTTTAGGATGGAAATGTGTGTGTGTGTTACATTACAGTAGACGTTACTGAATATAATTTCTCCCGGCTCTTTCTCAATTTACAGTCTTTCTAATCATTCCTACAATGATTTTTGCAAATGTATGTTTAACACAGGAACAACGGAATGTGACAGAGGCACAACAAGTGTTACTGCGAGTAATAAAACGCAGGGACAAGAGGCTATAACAATAAAACTAATCTTTTTATAACTAAATAACATCTGTGAATGACTGAGCTGCTCCCTGTCAGGCATATCTCTGCCATGTTTACATGTCAGCCTATCTCTGCTCTCCTTTCATGCATTCTTTCCACAGCTGCTCCGTTGAAACTCTGTCACAATAAAACAACGGAAACTGCAGGGTCTGCGTTTACCCGAGAAGATGAAGAAGACAAAACGGGATCCATTTGAATTTAGGAATGCAGTTTTGTAACTCAAAAGTTTTTAAGGCCCTGAAATGTGTTCCTTACTATGAGTGATGGAGTCCAAAAGTCACATATTTGGTCTGGAATATTTTGTGTTATTGAGAAAAACTTGATGCCAAGTTTTCATGGGCTTTCACCATTTTAACAATAAGTTCTCTTGTTTCCTTACATGTTTGTGCTTCGTCAGACAGCTGGTCAATGTGAGGCCTTCAGAGGGGAATGAGTGAATACGAGACACCTGTGATCTGAGACCGTCCATCCCGTCAACAGATTAACCCTGACATCACCTCTGACGCCGTCGGGGCAAAGCATGGCGATGAAACATGTGAACACTGACCGCATTTCACCGCATTTGCAACACGAGATAACGTCCTTTCGAAACCCTGTGAGCCTTTTACCAGCACGTATCCTCTTTTTCAGGACAGTTGTATTCAAATAGAGCAGGGAAATAACCGCACAACCCTTACACCACATTAAAACCAGAAAGCAATCCACCGTCAGACAGTTAAACTGTCTCCAGCGCTTGGCTCCAAAGTGCTGCTGTAAGGGATAATTAAGAACCCCTTGTGTAAGGTTGATAACACAGGAGTCTACGAGACTGAGGTCTCAGCTATGTAGGGAATTTCCTCGTTTATCATACTTGACATTCAGGTTTAAGCAGTATTTTACTCTGTGCCATTCAATTTAAGTTCAATTTAAGGTGTCTTTTTGGTGAGTGTTTGATATGCGAATATCATGTTATTCAGTGCACTGAAATAAATTACATATTAAGAACGATCACATGCTATTATATATTATTATTATAATATGAATGCTCTGTCCCTCTGTAAAAGTGCTGAAGATTGACATTTCCTGCCCGGCTGAACCAAACAAAAGAGCCGTTTTAAGAAACCGCCAACACTGTACAAACACATCCAATCTCCTTAATAACATCCGTTTGTGGACACAACACGCACCATGTTTACCCAGCAGACCACTGTAACCTGGGCTCCTTTCCATCTGGCTATTACAGTATTAGTTTCTTTTGTCCTCCTCAGGCAGAGAAAAGGTGAAGCAGACACCCACATCTCCAGCTTCTCTTCTTTCACTTCTCTTTTGCCATCAGGCTCTCTCTCTCTGATTGCTTCAAGCTGACAGCTTAATGTGTTGCCTCTGTGGGATCAAATGTATCCGACTAATATTACCGGTCACAGCCAGAGCTAATGCTGCTAATGGAGATGTTCAATGCAGATAATCCCGTTGAAATGATACGTGGACTGTTTCCATTCAAACTGAGTAAACTGTGTTGCTGTCTCCTCGTCCCACACATCCCAGCTTTTTAAACACCGAGGTCACATTTCACCTCTCACAGTTCAACCCTCACCATCTCTGCTTTCTCTTTTATATAACTCACGGATCTAAAACACAGAGCTCATGTCATCGCTCAGTGTTGTATAAGCTTTTTCTCCATTCCCCAAAGAGTCGATGCTGATGAATGTGCTCGAGTTATTTATATTTTCCATACTTCAAGGCAAATGGAAGTCACATTCCTGTACGTCTCTACAACGTCCTCTCAATCAAACTTAAGTTTTTCTCCCCAAAGGTAGCATTTGTCTGGTAATGTCTCTGGTGTTCGTTATGAAGCCACACCCCCACACCCACACACACACACACACACGATAACAACAATGTTGTCATGCTGGGAGAAGTCACACTGATCACAGGAATGTGTCTTTACAGTGCCCCCTACTTCACCTCTCCAACACACACACACACACCTTTTACACACATGATCATGTGGGAGAAGACAAACATCAGCATACACTATACTAAACTAAACTATAATATACTGAACTATACTGTGCTTTGGGGGGACATAAGGGTATTTGGCTGGTAATACAGTCCTTATTTGCAAGTTACTTTTCAAACTGTTTACTTAGTGATTTGACATCTAAACATGAATACAGAGGAAACATTTTTTATTCTAAGTTAGTTTTCAGTCTTTTAGCCTTTAACCAAACAACTGAGTATTAAATGTAATAATTACACACATTTTGCTAAAAGTTTCATGTTTGGAGGAAAGAAATCTTAAGTGAGTAACGTCAACATAAACTCCACTTCTTTACTGGGAGGTTATTTTGTGGACAGAGTCCTCTGCAACTCATCTAATGTTTCTTTGATCAGCTGGCTGGGCTATTAAGATGTTTAAACACATTACCAGTTTATTAGGTACACCTAGCTACAACTAATGCAGTTTACCACAACAAGTCCTGTCATTAATTCTTCCTCCGAGGTTTTAATGTTCAGTTTTTGATTAATTGTTTTAGACAGGTGCTGATTCAACGTGTGTGGTGCTGTTAGTTTGTATTACAATATAGTGAATTGTGTTGGTAATATTTAGTCTACCATCTAAAAGTAGAGTTGACACCTCTCAGTTTGAGGCATTCGCTTTAGTTAAGTGTACCTATAACATAAGTCATCAGTCTGACAAATAAAGTGATTGCTTAAAGTACGACAGCTGGAAACATGCTGATCCTGCTTCTTAGCCCGGATAGAGGGATCATCATGTACTGTAACAGCAACAACACACAAGGATATTAATCACACTCACATTTCAATGGCCAAACCTATATTAGATATAATTTACCCTCATGTATCATCTTTCTGATGAAGCGTGACGTCAGCAAATATACACCCGTCAGTCTGCATCGCTGCACCCTGGACAGAAACGTGCCACTTTCTATTTCTTACCTGGCAGACAGAGCAGTAGTGGAGGAGGAGGCAGGCGCTGACACAAGCACACACCGCACCGGAGACGAATCGGGAACGTAGCCAGCACAAAGCCCTCCGCACCATCGGCCCTGGATCTCCACAGGCCATGTGCCTCCCTGTCGGCCCGAGATCCTTCACAATCACCTATAGCTGGGTCTACCGTTGGCTCAGAGCTACGGCTCTCTCTTATTCCAGGTATTCAGGCTGTAAACCCTTGCTGTACACTGAGGCTTGTGTTGCCTGGTGAATAATCCTCCTCTGTTAGAAGCTCACACTCATTTCTCACACTGACCCCCTGCTCGGTCTCTACACCCTCTCTTTTGTCATCCCGAGTCAAAATTTCTCCTGTTTCGACATGGAGTCCCTCCTCCCTTCCTCTCGAAACACTTTCTCAATATATCTTCTTTACTGATCAAGCGTATCCACATACCGAAATCTGTCACTTTGCTCTTTTTTCTCTACCATCTGCCTGCATGAACCGGTGCTTGAACCGGTTCCCTTCAGTCTCACCGTTGTTCTCTCGTCTCGCTCTCATCCCCTAATCCCCACAGGACCTATCCTGAGCCCCACGCTGAGCCAATCTCCTGCCAGGTTCATGGGGGCAGGAACAACATGCCTTTCCCATACTCTCCTTTTGTCTGCATGACAAATTCCTCAGCACTACGCAACTCACAGAGGGGTGTATTTGTGTAGAACCTGTCAGGCGACTATCAGCTACATGTGCATACACCGAGCGTGTCTTCAGGTACCGTCAGAGCTTTACTTCACTACTTTAAAACCACATCCCTTTCCCTCGACTGAAGTGTTCATCGCTGTGGTGGGCCACTGAAGGAACAGCAGAGGGCGTGGCTTTACATTTAATTGTGTGTATTTATTGTGGTTATTTTCTCTGAATCTGTGAGTGTCCTCTCTGTCTAATGTGGTACATGCTGTTCCACTGTATGCGTGTGTGTGTGAGGGATGAATCAGACAATTACTCATGAGCACTTTTGATAATGGAGTATTCGTTTGTCATTTAGCATGGAAATATACTCAATATTTGCTGGTAAATCCTCTCAAATAGGACCATTGTTAGTTGGCACTCTCTTTCATAGCACGGTAAATCTAATCTTTTGGTATGGAAATAAATAATCAAATCTCATATCCATTAAAAGAAAAATCACCAATTTTCATCGGACACAGACAACATAATGTCATCAGTGATGGAATGAAGGTAAAAAATAGTACTGGTGAAAATGTGAAAGTACTTCCACTACAATTCAGAGGGAAATAATGTACTTTTTACTCTGAATACTTCCTCCACCACTGCGTGTGGTATATTGTTATGCTGCAGAATTATAATAGTTTATAAAGAAATGTGGACCCAAACAAACAGCATGGAGTGTGTTTCTTTGCAGCATGGATTATGTGTATAAGGGGTGTGGGAGTGATGTGTGGGACTTTGTACAATGTGTGTCACGGAAAACAAGTCTACAATTGTGGCTTGTGTGAATAAGGACGCATAAATAAGAAGAATCATCAGCACGTGTAGGCTACGTGATCACAGTTTCACTGGATCTTCTGTCTCCGTTTTGTCCGCTTACACTCATTTTCCTCTCGTTCTCTGTTCCACTGCGTGGCTCACAGGGTTTCGGTGCAACATGCATAAGGGGGGAGAGAGAGTCTCGTAATCTGATAATAAATTATAAAATAATATGTGCATTGTTGGCTGAGCAGACGTGTGTAGGAATTAGCATCTAATATCATTGAAATGTCAGGGACAGAGTCGATACTGTGAGTGTGTGTGTGTGTGTGTGTGTGTGTGTGTGTGTGAGAGTGAGAGTGTGTGTGTAAGAGAACAAGACAAGTAGAGAGAGGAAAAGAAAAAGAAAAAAGAAAAAAAAAAAAATGTACCATATATGGCAACGATGTCGCCTAGCAACCGGCTCTGCCTTCAGCCCAATTTTCCATGACACACTGAACTCTGAATGCAGCGCGGCATCATACGCTCCGAGTATGCATGTTTGAGCAAGTACCTGCTCACCTCGCCGGGTGAACAAAATGTAACTGGTTCGTCGGGGAGCCGACAGCGTGGCTGCTGCTTCTTAGAGCCAGTAACAACAAACACGCGCGCACACACACACACACACACACACACACACACACTCACACACCCTCTTTGTATTAATTACTGTGTGACGTAAAGAGGAAGAGGTTTTACGCAACTACTAGAGAACAAAATGTGACTTATAGACCAGCGTATTCACGTTTGTCACAACAGTGCAACTCCTCTGATTGCTCATTTCCTGGCTGTCAGTGTAACAGCGAGGAAATTACACTGGTGTCCACTGACCTGCTGGGTCAAATGATCATCACTGTAACTGGCAGCCAGTCTTTGTGTTTGTCATGTGGAGCAATGAGCCTCTTAAAGACTCCCACGATTTAGCTCAAAAAGTAAAGACTGAACCAGGAGAGACAGTAACAATACTGTAATGGGAGTTGTATTATTCTTTTTTTCCATTTATTATATTAAACGCGTTAAAAAAAAAAAAAAAAAACGGTGTGCCCTCTAACGCAACAAAAAGGCATTATTATTATTTGAATATTGAAGACATAAGCTGCAGAAAATAATACACTAATCCCATTCAAAACCAAGTGGGGAGAAATATCACAAGCTGTACAGATCTGAAGCTATCAGTCAATTAATCAATTGACCTTAAATATCCACAAACTATTTTTTTGATAAATAAATCAGTAATGTGGATATCATGACTATGTGAAGGGAAATAACTGAACAGCTAGAACCGTCTGGTAAGTTCAGATCATGTAATCACTTCACTGTAATGCAGCTTTTAAAACCAGGACAAGACAACACTTATGCCATATTACGATGTCCAAAACCAAAGAAAATATCCAGTCTCAAGATATTTATATAATATCGACATAATGCGCAGCCCCAACTCCAAACGCTCTGGTTTCAGCATCTTTAATGTGAAGATTTGCTTCTTTTCTCTGTTTGGTTATATTGTAAACTGATCTCTTGTGCTTTTGACTGCAGGACGAACAAAACAACATATTAAAGATGTCACCTCGGGCTCTGAGTTTACTTTCAGTATTTTTTGAAATTGTATAGTTGGCAGATTAATGAATAATAATAATAATAATAAACCCAGACTTAATATTTATCATCTGAACCTATGGGATGTATGATAGGACGATAACAATGAGGCCAGAATGAATTTTAATCAAATGAGGACAGAAGACGAGTAATCTGACCATCTGACTGGATATGATGAATTGTGTTTGTTTATGTTTTGTCAACAATAATTAAGCTATAACATATCAGGATAATGAAGCTGAGCTTCATCGTGTTTACTGTGGTTCTTGTTGCGACTTTGTTTTTGTATTTACGCTTTGCCGCTTTCTCCTGTTGTGATCTTACAAGCCGTTTTATTATTAATGGCTGATTTAAGTTTGTGTAGACCTGAGCACACGAATATGAATCACAGCAAAACATCGGTTATCAGTCTTCGATTAGAGGCCTATTTCCACCTACCAATGGGGCATCAGTGTTTGGTGCGGCTATCAGATAAAGCATAAAGTATGTAAGACACCAGCTAATGACAGTAAAGATGTATTAACGTGGGGACACCAGACGTTCCAAACTGCTACCATAAAATCAGACTGGAGTCATAGTCTGTGTCTTGTGTTTCTCTTTCTCTGGAAAAAAAAGAAAACAAAGCACCAGACGAGGGTGGAGCGTCTACTGTGGAAAAATAACTGGGGCTAAATTATTGAAAAATATACGAGTGCAACTTCTGCCAGGTTTCTACATTTTGTGCAGCGTAATATGAATGGCATACAGTTGAACACCTGTCAACATGCGTGCTTGGTGATGCGGCCTGAACGCACAACCTGGATATGCAAGATTCAGGTTCTGCAGGGAAGATTAGTGGAGGTACTGCAAGGCTGAAGTGGAGACAACCTGTCTTTGAGACGACTCATTCCAAACATTTGGAGTTGACAGCACATCAAGGCCTCCTGACTTGGAAGGGGGGGGGGCCTTGGAAGCTTTAATTAAACTGCATTTCATGTCTGGAGGAGAGGAAAACCCTCAGCCTCTGGGTCAGTAAACTAACTTGTAGATTGCTGTGGCAGCATATTTGTACTGGGAGTAAAGAGGCACAGAGGTGGGGCTTGGAGATCAGAGGCAGTTTCCTCTTCTCTAGTTTAAATGTGTTATAGTCGAGTTTCATTATCAGTGTGCGAGTCCAACCGGAATTTGAACCGCACGTTAGACAAAATATTTCAAATGAAAAGCTATATTGTAATTATATTATTATATTATAATGTCGTCATCACTGACATTTCCTCATCACTTAAAACAAAAACGTGATCCATCAAAACCCCTTTAGACACACGCTGTGCTGCAGGAATTTGCACAGCTCATGTGAATTAACATGACACAGTTTGAACATCTTCTATCTGAGCTCTGACATGCACTTCAGCCTGATGATCTGACCAACAGCACTGACATAATGACATCTGGCAGCCACTGACAGTGACTGATAGGACTGTCATTATGCACGTGCACAACAGACCACAATGAGAAGTGTGTTTTCAGGCTCCTGCACGTGTCCTGTGTGTGTGTGTGTGTGTGTGTATGGATTTATACATGTTATCATTTCTATTTCATTGTTTGTCTCAAACCACTTCTTAGCTGTGTAGTAATTGTACACCTGACACCATGATATGTTCAGTTGAGGGATGAATACATACTGTATGGCTGCCATAGTATATGGTCGATTGTGCAATACTTGCATGTTTGCTAGTCAAACTCAGTGAAACCTGTTCACGGTTGTTGTTTTTTTGTAGTACAGCTGACAGTTCATAAGGTGACTGTTCATGATTATTGACAGTTTCAATAAAAGTGTTTTGGGTGGAAAACACAGGAAAAGCACTCACCCCTGTCCCATCGTCGGGGCTGCACATGGACCGGGCCGGAGACAGACTGGACTCGATGTCGCTCCCGGTGAAGTCGTCCTCGGACTCCTCGAAGGACGAGGCGGAGGACAGGCCGATGGAGGAGGAGTTGGACAGCTTCCTCGGTGAGCGCATCAGCGCAGGGGACCCTCCGCAGCCGCTGTCAGAGCAGGGGGACTCGTCGTCCGGGTGAGGGTCCAGACACGAGCCGGTGCTGAGCTCCGATCGGACCGTCAGCAGGGCCGGAGTCCCCTGAGAGCGGGTCGGGCTGGGGTCTCTCGTTATGATGAGTGTCGGTATAGGTCCAGCGTAACTCTGGCCCTCTGGAGGACCATGAGGGGACTGATCGGAGTCCTTTGGGCTCTCACTTTCCACCGGACAACACTCGTGTTGGTCCCCGGTCGCTGTGGGCCGACATGAAACGTGACTGCAGTCACGTTTCGTCATTTCACCCTCAGCGTGATCGTCTGTTTTTGTCAGTCCACGACCCAACGGTTGATGTGGGGACAAGCTAGAGAAAGCCCGCTCAGTGTCCGGGTCAGAGGCGAGGAAAGGGGCTGAAGTCAGAGCCTCCCGAGCCTCAGACACAACACCCCCCAGTGGCTGATCTTCCATGGCCCTCGTCGGGGGACCCGAGGCATTGTCTTCTCGCTGGGGCTTTGGCTCCTCGCAGCGGACCTCATCGGACGAGCCAGCCGCTACCTCTCGGTTCACGACGTGTTGGGTGGCTTCGACATGGTCATCTAGGCCGGACGGCGACTCCAAACAGCCCGGGGATGCTCGACGATCCTCTACCCCCGACACAACCTCGTCCCTGGGCAACTTTCCTACTCTGTGATCGCGGTGCGTCGCTGAATCTCCGGCTTCGTTTCCGCAAACTGAATCCGCTTCTGTTGGGCTGGAGTCTCGCTTTCTCCTTCCCAGACACGATAGCACTTTATTTTTCATCGGATTCCTTTTTAACTGGTGCGTCCGATGCTTCTCTCCGCTCCTAAACCCGCAGATATGGAGTCGCTGGGCTGTTTCGCCTGCTTTCAACTTCGCTCTGCCTGGAATGTCGGTGGTGTGCGAAAGAGCCGAGCGAGTTTGGCCCATCCTGCATGCCGTAGTAGTAACAGAGACCCAGACACACCCTTAAGTGGTTGACTTTTTTCGGAATCACTTTAACAGTGAGCCCTACCCTATGTACAGGAGGACATTACTAATGCAATCCATTCATTAAGCCTGGGGGAACTTAAATTGCTCCATCCCCTTTTTTTCCCCCACGTCGGAATTGTACGAATCTGTGAGAACAAACAGATGATGAATAATTTGGCACACACAAGCATGAGCAATAGCCTAATGTACCGAAAACACTCCCTTGCTTATAAACTCATTAATCAGACTGATAATGTATAAATCATTAACACATAAAAGCACCTGCATAACAGACCCATTAAACACTGCCTGTCATTAATCACACTTTCTTGCTCAACAGTGACAATTAATCAGTGATTTATCAGTTCTGAAAGTCAGATATGAGCAGGCTCCCAGGAAAAATAGCTGAGAGGGGGGGGTCACATCAACTGCACTAATACCGAGAGTATAGTCCCAGGAAAATATGACATGAGGAGTGATTTAAATATGACAATAAAACAGTTGAGTGCAAAGAAATGTATACGGTTTCAGAGCATTTCAGACTCAGTTTCACTAGTAATAGTAATACTGCCCTCCTGTGTCTGGACACTAAGCTCTTGTTCAGGTAAGCTTGTTGTATCACTTCAACATTGTCATATAAACCCCAAAGAGTAGATGTTAAAAGATAACTTTAATCAGTTGTTGACTGATTAAAGGTGATGTAATCAACAACAAGCTTAATCGATTAATCAATCGAGCACTAATTATGTGTCCAACACAGACAAGCGTGTCAAAACACATCAAATACAAACAATGTATGGGCTTCAGCCTCTATGTTTGGTCCCAAATCATAGTGAATTTTAGTTGGTAAGATGTAAAAACTTCATGGTGGATGATGTCATTCGCTATACAGTAGTCATGAATTCCACCCTACTGGTAGCTATTCACAAACTTCTGTTTTCACATCAATATTTTCCACAAGATTGCAGGTTTTTGCCGATTAAAAGACACAGTTCATCACACTGGAAACATTGAAATCATTTGTGTCGCAGTGAGCGGCCGAGTGTTATTCACTGTCCCTGCTGTGAGGAAGGAATGCTCACAGAGAGGACACAAGACAGGAAGGATAACAATGGAAAGAACAGCTCATCGTGCACCACACACACACACACACACACACACACACACACACATTTGAGTATATTGTTGTGTAATCAAAATCATAAATAATCATACATAATGACTCACACCGGGAGGAATAATAGAGTCCTGTGCCATGCTGACATTGAGTGGATTCTTTGACGCAATACACACACACACACACACACACACACACAATCAAACAGTTACACATACTTTCCCTCATTGACAAACATTAAACTATAAAAAAAAGATCTACATGACACTCGAATCCAATAATCACTCATGCACAGAGTCATCTTTGTGTAATCTGCAGCCACTATGTGGCCACGGTGGAGAACACTTTTGCTCTATAAAATTAAATATGTATTTATTTTTGTTTCGTGTTAATCACTCAACAATTTGTTTTAAGAATACTTTCCATTTTGAAGACATACATTATTTTTGTGTTTTTAAATGTTCATATTTAGTGATTTTTTTTTAAATATACAGAGACAACAATATAGCTTCAAGACTTCCAAAAGCTGACTTTAAACTGGCAGAAGATTAAAAGGAGTTCTGTGTTTTAGGAGACAGCTAAAATCACATTACATATGGAAGCATATCAGCAGAAACTTACCGGACTGATCCTGAGTCCCTCCTCTGTGTGTGTGAAGCAACTGTTAAAGGCTGACAGAGGTGTGGAGGTTTATAACGTTACAGCAGGATTTGAAGGGGATGTGTCTGCGGCTTGTTTGCTCAGCTCGGTATGTGTGTGTGTGTGTGTGTGTGTGTGTGTGTAATGTAGTATCAGAATGTGGTTGACGTGAAAGAGGAAACGCTTTTCAAAACAGCGGCAGCTCCACTAACGTTTAGGCTCCGACACTTCAACTGACACCTGAGGTGACTGAAACTACTTTTATATTGTTTCTATCAAAACGGTACAAACAGACTGCACCATTGATGGTGTACTGCACGCGTCATGTGACGGGATTTAAAAGTGCTGCCTTCACTTACACCTTGGATATTTTCAGTGTCGCCACTCAAATAGTCTGCTTCCAAAATATATATAAAATCTTTATTGAGGACATTTCAAATGAGCAACATTCATTTTCACTCTGTGAACTCTAAATAACGTACTATTGCTATATTACTGGTTGAATCAAATATCACTAATTTCTTCTTTGTTGTTGTGCTTAAAAAATAAAAATAAATGTTGGAAATTATAAAACACGCAGGCTAATGAATGGTTATCACACAAATGTTGACAGTACCATAGATGTATATGGACAATTACATTGTGAAATAACTTAAGAAATCATTCCAACTTAATCCAACTGCAATGAATTATTATTATTATCATCATATCGTATTATCAGGGCTCTCTTTTTAATTTGCCATCCCATTTATTTACATAGCTTATAATCCTAAAACTCCCCGAAGTGAATTGTTTATTTCATAACGTCGTCTTTATTTATTTTTTTATTGAATATTGACTGAATATAAGATTATAACATGTCGTTTGCGTCAATCTGTTTTGAGTTTGATGTGACTTTTATCCTTAAACAGAACAAATAACATCCACATCATTCACACTCACACACACACACACACACACACACACACACACACACACACACACACACACACACACACACACACACACCTTTTCCATCATTGCTACTTTGCTTCCCTTTAAAGTATCTTTGCAACGCAACGCAAACATTTGTACTTTTGGCACATCTGAGCCTCCGTAGACGCGGAAGTAGCGTTTCACAAGCACCAGGGCCCCGGCGTGACATTCACCGGGTTGTCTGAGTCGGGGGTTGTATAAAGAAGGAAGAATACGACCACGCTTTGCTCGACCAAGCAGTCGTCAACATGAGAGTATTAAAAGCGGGCTTGTGTTTGGCAAAAACGCATCTTTTGGCGCCAGGATGCGTCACTCTTAAAAAGGTAACATTGGGTAACCCGAGCTTTCTGCTGTTGAACTGATTTGACATCAAGACTCCTAAAACTCTGCCATCAGCCCATCGCATTTCACAATCGGTAAACAGACAGACGGGGGTTGATTATTGATCTTCCTTCTGTTTCGGCCCTACAGGTGCTCATCAACAGCTGTCGGACATGCTCCTCTGGTTTCTTTCCCAACGAGAGGATCCGCAACATCGGGATCTCAGCTCACATCGACTCAGGGAAGACCACCCTGACCGAGCGTGTCCTCTATTACACCGGCAAAATAGCACATATTCACGAGGTGAGCGCCGGGACGGGCCATGCTTGCTGTCAGGTGAGGTTTACAGGTGCACAGTTCATCATTCATGGGCTGTTTTCCTCCTCTGCGGTGTGTAGGTGAAGGGGAAGGACGGTGTAGGAGCCACTATGGACTCCATGGAGCTGGAGAGACAGAGAGGCATCACCATCCAGTCCGCTGCTACATACACTGTGTGGAAGAATCACAACATAAACATCATTGACACACCAGGTATTAAAAGTTGTATTTGATTTGGGTCTCCTGGGGACAAGAGTTTGATGATTATGACCTCCTGTTACTCAAATGCAATAATAGATGTAAATATAATTAGTTTTATCTGTGCTTATGATAGAGGTTGTTGTGCTTGCCTGGGTGCAGACAGCTTGTCCTATGGTGGTTTATGTGATGTCATTATTTCATCTGGACTGTGCAGCCTCTAGCCACTTTGTCAGCGAGGGTCGGCCCTGCTCAGGTGTCCAAAATGATGAATCTTTACCAGCCTTTACAAAGTCTTTTTTTACTTCTCTAAACATCACTGTCCACGTTGTCTCTCCAGGTCACGTGGACTTTACCATCGAAGTGGAGCGAGCGCTGCGGGTGCTGGATGGAGCCGTGCTGGTCCTGTGTGCGGTGGGGGGCGTCCAGTGTCAGACCATGACGGTGAACAGACAGATGAAGCGCTACAACGTCCCCTTCCTCACCTTCATCAACAAGCTGGACCGCATGGGCGCCAACCCCAGCCGAGCCTTGCAACAGATGAGGTAAGTTACACGCTCGCAGTAAATACATGCATACATACCAGAGTGCTCCTGATCAGGTACACATAGAACCATCACAATCTATTTACCTGATACCTCACATAGATGATATTTATTTATTCAAACAATATGGTCTAATCACTAGTTATGTGCGTATGTCTGCCAAACCGATGGATGCTGTATCATTACTATTTCATTCATTCAGCAGACAGTCAGAGGTTGTTATGAAGTTACAACACAGCCGGTAAAACCAGCTGAAACATGACAATAGAAATCCCAGATCAGATCACAACACAGATTGATGGCTCCCAGCTCCTTATGCGTGATAGTTAGTTTAAATGTAACTTCTACATCCATCCAGTATGCCTTTCCTGGATTTTTGCTGTTAATAGTTTTAAATAAACTGAACACAGACGTGGATGCAACGAAAATTAGAAGGGAGACTCGCTGCAGCTGTGTTTTTATGCCACACAGAGTAACAAGCTGAAGCTCCGTGCCTCTCTTTTAAGCTCTCATGAAATCATCATTCCACAAACAATGTTGTCATCGGCTGTGGTTTTCCTTCCTGTGTTTCTCTTCTCACTTCAGACTGTTTCTTTGCCTTCCTCAGAACCAAGCTGAACCACAACGCGGCCTTCGTGAGCATCCCCGTCGGCCTGGAGGGGAACACACGCGGCATCATCGACCTGGTAGAGGAGCGCACCATGTATTTCGAAGGACCTTTTGGGTGAGGGATTGCCGTTGTGGTAGCTTGAACATGAACAGATCTGATTCTGTTACAGAGTAGTTTAGCAGCAAGAATCACCACATATGAGACTGATTGACGACAGCTCGGCTTCAGTAGAATTATAAGACCTACAGGGATCAAAAATCATTCGAATCAGCATCTGTCCGATTACAGAGGTTCATTTCTACCCCTGTGTCACAATTTCTGAGATTGTGTTCCTGAAAAATATGATGCAAACGGTTTATTCCTCCCTGCAGTGAAAATATCCGCTACGATGAGATCCCAGCAGATTTCCGCGCTGAGGCTGCGGACCGGAGGCAGGAGCTGGTGGAGTGTGTGGCCAACGCTGATGAAGCCTTGGGAGAGATGTTCTTAGAGGAAAAGATTCCAACCAATGACGACCTGAAGGTGTGTATCTTTAACAGAGCGAGAGAGAGAGAGAGCACATGTTTTCAGAAAATTCTAACAAGGCCTTCAATGTTTCTGATAAAGTGCCAATGTTTTTGTTTTAATGAAAACATAGAACCGTATTTATCTCTCTCGGTAAAAGCAGTAGCACCTCACTTCCTGTCAAACTATGACTCACAGTTTTAAAATACGTTTCACAATCATTTCTAGACATTACAAGTAGATGAGACTAAAGACTCTACCGCCATGCGTGAGCTAAACTCATGTCAGCACGCAAACATGCTAAGGCCTGTCACGATAGTTACATTATCGACTTATCATACGACATGATGTCGGCCATTTTTGCTGACCTAGATATTGCCCGTTGTCTTTACATGTGTGTTAGTTTACATAAGAATGTCAGCAACATGATGCCAGAATATACAGCAGCGTTTTCCCTTGTGCGTGTGGATGAAGAATTAAAAACACTCTTGTGTCACTTCACTGTCTTCCAGGCCGCAATCCGCAGGGCCACAGTGCAGCGTCTCTTCACACCGGTGTTGGTGGGCACAGCGTTGAAGAACAAGGGCGTCCAGGCTCTACTGGACGCTGTCCTGGATTACTTGCCAAACCCCACTGAAGTCAAAAACTATGCGATCCTCAATGACGAGTGAGTACGGACCAGGTTCTATTCATAGTAGCCTTCCTGTGGATGTTTGTGCACTAATGTCAGTGGGTTTTTCACCTATTAGAGTTGTCAGCGAAACATCAAAGATTCAAATGGACGCGACAAGAGACTCTACACACCCGTATGTTGGTCTGGCCTTCAAACTAGAGGTAAAATACTACTTTATCTATATTGTCGCAATTGTGCTCAAGAGGAATGTCTTAATCCGTCATGCTTTGTTGTTTCCTGTGGGGCTTTCTCACTATCAGGCAGGGAGGTTTGGCCAGCTAACGTATGTGCGGGTGTACCAGGGCTGTCTGAAGAAGGGCGAGTACATCTACAACACGCGCACCAGCAAGAAAGTCAGAGTTCAGAGGCTCGTGCGTCTCCACGCTGACCAGTTGGAGGTGAGAACAAGTCGACGTCTGCAGCATGTCGGAGGTCATAGTTTTCCATTTGTGGGTTTCTGTTTAAACAGCATGACTGGTTAGGTTCCTCTTTTGGCTCCAGTCAAGTGTGAAGATAACAACCACATCCCCTGTGACACCAGACTATTTCTCACATCAAAACAAGACATGAAACTGTTTACTGTTCAGTTCTATATGTCAGTATATAATAGGACCTGTCAATCAGTCCTGGAAATGAACATCTTGTCCTCTTGTTTCCCATTATTTCCTTTCCATCCGTGCTGTTTTCAGGACGTGGATGAGGTTTATGCAGGAGATATCTGTGCTCTGTTTGGGATAGACTGCGCCAGCGGAGACACTTTTACATCCAGGACCAGCGCTAACCTCTCTATGGTGCGTAACGTCTTAGAAAGCATTCCTCTTTTCCTTCTTTATGCCACGATATGAGGAGAATATTGTGCTCATTTGTTATCATTCTGTCCCACAGGAGTCAATTCACGTCCCAGAGCCTGTCATTTCCATGTCAATGAAGCCGGCCAACAAGGTAAAACCAATACTTAATTTACCCAAACATACTGTCTCTAGAGTCTAAATCACATCTAGTAACTCTGCTCTCCTCTTGTCATCCTGCGTCTGACCAGAATGACCTGGATAAATTCTCCAAAGGTATTAACCGGTTCACCAGGGAAGACCCAACTTTTAGAGTGCATTTTGACACCGAGAGCAAAGAAACCATCATCTCGGGAATGGGAGAGCTGCATCTTGAAATCTACTCACAGGTACCAGAGGATGTCCTGCATGTTTGATACGAGACGACCTGCAGTAAATTAGACGCATTCGGACATATTTTGTCTCTTACTGGTGCTGCTTTTTATCATATTATTTTCAATTTGTGGAGATTTTGAATGAAAAAGTAACTATAATAGATACTTTTTGTAAAGATGACAGTTTTTAGAACTCCTTGCTCTTCATTGTCTCTCTATGGTGATGAAAAAATGCCTGTAGATGATTAAATGAGACATTGCTGCACCACAAACTAAATGCTACTGAGCTTCAGTGTATTTGGTGTAAGATCTCCAGACTTGAGGAAATCATCTCTATCCTTATATTTGAATGAATTACCTATTATAACAAACCTGACATGTCTGAGCTGTGTCTCTGTTAGTTTATTCTTGTTTTGGTTCGTTGTTTCAGAGGATGGAGAGGGAATACAACTGTCTCTGTGTGATGGGGAAACCCAAAGTAGCTTTCAGAGAGTCGATCACCAGCCCTGTACAGTAAGTGCTGACCTCCTGACACACACACACACACACACACACACACACACACACACACACACACACACACACACACACACACACACACACACACACACCCCACAAAAAACGGTATAAACAGTTTATTTTGACTAAAATACAAAACCAAAAGTACTACAAACGTAGCACAATGTAAGGATATCATCATTATATATGATGGCTTTTTACATGCAGCATTTATGGTCCAATATTCGAATACAGAATGGGAGCGTCACAATGTTGTTTTGGTTGTTCTAGCAGTGTGATGGATGTCAGAAGTTTAGTTTGTGTTTGGAGGTTTTTCACAATGGTGGCAGTGTGGCAGCTGTTCCATCTGCAGCACTTTAACTCCCTCTGGAGGAGACCAGGTGAACAGCAGCTTCCAGTGAATGATTTCCTGCCAAAATAACAGATTGTCTGTCAGATCAACACAATATATATCAAGTATTAAAACCTCACTAACTGCATCTTTAGCACGAGAGTAAGTCTTCTTCTCAACTAACTAGTGCCAGTTTACTGTCGGATGCCACCGGTACTGAAGTTATCAGCTGCTTTGTCAACTTATTCTGATAAACAATAATTGTAGCTATTTATCAAGGAAATATAGCAAACATTTACCATTTACAGTGTCATAAATTAGCTTTCATTGCAAATTCAAATCACTGTTAAATGATTAATTGCATATTAGTCTGAACAAGAAATGTGAAGTTGTGTAAGCCATCGAGTTCCTCAGTTACGTTATAGATTAAGAAATGCATCTAAAGATGTGTGTATGGGGGGGTGGGGGGGGTTGATTATGAAAATAATTGTTGATTTGATAATTTCCGCATATTTAAACATGTTTTATAATGAGTGGTTACCTGGGACACCATCTCATGCAGCAGTGTGTGACAGTCAAACTTCAGCTGTTCGTTCTCAGTCGCCTGCAGCAGACGAGGAAGAAATACAGCCAAATGAGAGAAAACATGTGACTGTAATACAGTTAATAGATTGTGCAGATTCTTATATTTTTCTACTCAATCAAAGATTAACAATCTGATTTAAAAACAAGCGTACCAGCTGCGTGATGTTGGCGACCTGAGCCATGTTGTACAGAGTGTTTTCAGTGGATTCCTTCAGCATGACGGAGCTGGAGGCCACGATGCCGAGGTGCCAGAGAGGCTTGTTGTCGGGTTCAATGTGACCGTAGCTGTCTGTTGGTCAGAGCGTCAGGAAGTGAGTTTGTATGCATGAGTGGAGCTTGTTTATGCAACATACAGACTTGTCATGGAAACATAAACTTTGTGAGCTCATAATGAACGGGATGTTACTCCATCGGGGTTCACAAGGTCAGCGTAGGAACACGCAGAAAACAAATACTAAATGTTGAAATCCTCAAAATGCCGCAATTTGAAACAGAAGATGTTGTGCAATATGTGAGTTTGTGCGTCAATTCCGGGGGAATAGTACGCAGAGTTTATTTTCTTGTACATACCAGGTAGATTTTGTGCCGACAGGAGGCTCTGGTTCATTTTGTACTTTTGGAACAAGGCCTCCTCCTGAGCTTTAGTGTTGCTTTTAAGGAGCTCCTCACACGAGACCTGGACCTGAGGCAAGCGCTGCTGTTCTCCTCTCAGAAAGAAAACCTCTGCAGAGCAGTTCTCTGTAGTCTTTGTTTTTTAAAGCGGACGGTGGATTAAAAGGAAGCAAATAGAGGAAAAAAAACAGGGTTGATAAGTCCAAAGTGGAGGGGAGTATACAGAGCAAAGGCGTAGTCCAAGCAAGCAAGTCAAGGCTGCACCATACTGCCTCCTTTCATCTGCTGTTTAGCTAAATCTTGTCAAACCAGCCCTCTGTAAAGCCAGAGATTACTGCTTAAAATACCTTTCCATCAGCACATTGTGAATGCAATGCCATCAAATCTTGACATGTTGACGGTAAATGCAGCGAGTTAGACACAGATTGTATTTCCCTGTTTGAGAAGTGAATTTAGATTTTCATTTTTTTTTTTTTTCACAGACGAACCAAATGAGCTTTTAAGTAAATCTGTTAGAGCAGAGGGGTCAAAGGTCTTCAATGATTCAGGAACAGACTCATTAGTTATTTCATGTTTGCTCTATTTTAAGGTACTTTTTATTTACTGGACATTTACATTTGTGAAAACTACCCAATATGTTAATGAACCCACTCTAGACTGAAGGCCTGTATCTAACCCATGTGTGAATCTCACTGTGTGATGTATATAATCATATCTTACATTGCTGATGATCTCCTGCACCGAGATCTCCAGCTGATACTTCCTTCCAGAGTCTGCCACATCCTAACAGAGAAGTCACACATAACCAGAGTTTATAGACGTTAGAAAGTCACTGTAAACTAAACTACAACCGTTTCAGTTCAGCTGACCTCTGCGTTTCCACTCTGGACATTGTGCAGTCCGAACAGCCTGAACGGAGAGCCGTAGTGGGTGTTGAGGTAGTGTTGGACCACTTTGGCTGCCCTCCGAGCTGGGTAGTGATTGGGGTTCAGCTCTCCAGTCGCCATCACATCCTCTTCAGCCTCCTCTTCTGCTGGTATTTCCTGCTGCTGTTGCAGAGAAAAAGAAAGTAGAGTGAGAGAGGGAGTCATGAAAGCTGCTTTAATGAGCAGGGATGGGCCTCTAACCCCTGAAGGACTTTGACCCTCAGGTGTCAGCAGGGTGGAGCCTTCTGTCTCGGGTCGGTTTGTGTCCAGAGTAGGAAAGATTCAGACTCGAGGAGAACATCCATTGAGGGGAAAGCAAAGAAGAAGAAGTAAGAAGAAGTACAGGGGTAAGAAGTGTACAGCTGAAAACTTAATTAAATAAAAGGAGTCTTGCCTGTGACTGAAATGCTGCCTGTTACTTTGGCAGGTGGAAACTTATCTGCCCGCTGCTCCTCATGCAAGTGGAAAGATCACTTCCCACTTCCTCTTACACCAGAACTGAGGGAGGACTGCCCCCTTTTTTAAAGAGACAGAGCTCTTTTCTGATGTTTCCTTCCCATTGAATCGGCTTCAGAGAACAGGCAATGGAAGCAAATGTGGATCAGTCAGATTTGATGCTGCCGCCCCTCTCACTGCCGTTCTCCTACACATCCGTGGCCTTCCCCATGTCCTGTGCACGAGCATGAACTTAGTTTGCTTCGCTAGACACAAAGTGCATTTGATTAGAATCACTGACTGCACTTAAGTTATGAAGGAAATTTAATTCAAATCATTACGTGAGCGAGATATTTAATGCATTTTGGTGGGTCACACCAATGTGTTTCTTTTAAAAGCCAACACTGGTGTCTAATATTTGTCACCCCTATTGGCTAATATCAGCAACTGTCTAATTACGAATAGTCTTCATGGAACTTTTTATTAAAGAACATGATGCATGCCTTCTGTTGCTAAATCAGCAGTTGTGTTGAGTAACATACTCCATAGCGAGATCAAATGGCCAAACTTTTTCACTAATACATGTAATACTTGCATTGTTTTTTTTTAAATCTTAGAGATGAGTGTGTGTGAATGCTTGGTGTTTGTTTTGACTCATGGACTTACTTACTGCAAAAGAAAAAATTTGGATTTTATCGAAAGGTTTTTATTAGTAGTAGCAGTTATAAGTTGTGCATTTTTGTTACTGACTGCTAATGTTTGTACTGTAATGTGATTTGTGCATCACTTCGGTGCCAACAGCGACACAGCCTCATCCATTACCAATAGAAATGTACAGAGAGGCTTAAACAGAGTGGACTCTGGTTGACGGATGGTTCCACTCTCTGCTTCAAAATGTGGATATTTTGTCCCATTTTTCTGCAGGTTTGACTTCACGCACAAGAAGCAGAGCGGCGGCTCTGGTCAGTACGGTAAAGTTATCGGAGTCCTTGAGCCTCTTGAGCCAGAGCATCACACCAAGCTGGAGTTTGAAGACCAGACTGTTGGAACCAACATCCCGAAGCAGTTTGTACCAGCTGTTGAAAAGGTTAGTCTTCCTAACTTGAATGTTGTCACAGTGAGCTTTGAAATAAGAGGATTTGCATGAACACTAAGTGAAAGCCGTGCACTCGATTTGTCTCTCAATGCTTGTTTATTCCCATCATGCCGCAGGGCTTCAGGGAGGCCTGTGAGAAGGGGCCCCTGAGCGGGCACAAGATCTCAGGAGTCCGGTTCCTCCTGGAAGATGGAGCGAATCACATGGTGGACTCCAACGAGATCTCCTTCATCCGTGCAGGAGAGGGCGCTCTAAAACAAGGTGAGGGTTGCGTTAGGTCTGACCTCCTGTTTCATTCCGTTGTCGGCACACGTTAACACTGCTTTCCATATGCTCCCCTTAGCGATGGAGAAAGCCAACACGACCATCCTGGAGCCAATCATGTCTGTGGAAATCGTTGCACCGCAGGAGTTCCAGGGGACGGTCATTGCTGGTGTAAACCGGCGGCATGGTGTCATCTCAGGACAGGACGGAGCTGAGGGATACTTCACTCTGTACGCTGATGTGAGTCCAGCCTTTAATCATTCACATACCGCATGTATCTGAAGTCTAACAGCATTTATCTCGTCATCCTTCACCATCACAAATGATGACGAAGGATGACTAATTTCAGCTCGTTTCTCCCAACAGGTTCCACTAAACGATATGTTTGGTTACGCCACAGAACTACGCTCTTGTACTGAAGTAAGTTGAACCTCCATATGTTTAGTCCATTATGGTCCAGATCAGGTGGTCTCATAAAAAGACATGCTCAGTAAACTCCTGTGTTAATATTACACTAACCCTGTTTACAATCACATTTGGATGATTCATTCTGTTAAAGGATATTGATTGTAAATTAAAGTAATAAAAATCCAGGAATTTGCAGTCTTCTCTAATTGTTGTTGGCACGATATCCTCCAATCACTACAGAGGAGTCTTACAATTCAAAATAACTGCCATAGTTGCCGTTATAATTTCAAAGACTAACGTCCTATCTATCTATCTTCTATCTATCGTATCTATTGTTTATTCAGGGAAAAGGGGAGTACACCATGGACTTCAGCAGATACCAGCCCTGCCTGCCAGCCTCGCAAGAGGAACTCGTCCACAAATACTTGGAGGCAACAGGACAGCTGCCCGCAAAGAAGAACAAGTGGAAGGGCTGAACACTGTCAGATCTACCCAAATGTATACTGCAGGACTTTGACCACCGTCCCTCATCTTCACACACATTTCTGCACATCATCATCCGTGACAATCGGGCTTTAATTTGTGGAGCCGTGAAAAAACTTGTTTTGTAGTTTGAGCAACTTTTCTCCCTCATGCCTGACCCCTCTAAAAAAAACTATTTATTACTTTGATTTTAGCAGCATTTGATCTTGTTAAAGAGGAAAGCTCAGTGGTTTGACTTGAGCTTATAATGGCTTTTGTACTATGTACAGAATGGTCATGATGTAATAATGGCTGCAACAAAGAGATATATATATATATATATACCCGTCTTTTAAAGTGTAGTTCTGTGCAGATAATTTGTGTCTCAACAACAAACGCCTGATTCGTCTTGTTCAGCAGCATTCTGTGTGGCAGTTTTTGGATATTTCACATTAACAACGCAATTGATCAGCTACAAAACACCAGGAAAAAAGACTATTACAAACCAAAGTCACCTGTCCAAAGATCTCGGTTGCCTCCACCGTCTCTGGAACGCTGTTGGGATGAGCCGTCGTGTCCGCGGAGTCAGCTTTAGGACTGATCGTTACACCGGGGCTCCCAGTTACCCCAGTTAGCACAGCCAGAACCACGATGATCCTCAGACTCATTATAGGAGGCTGTAAAACACAGATGCTAGAGAAAAGGGAAAAACACTTCTGTGAAAGAGCACAGGAAGGGAAATGAGCCTCGTATCAGTGTGGAGTTATGTAACGGAGGAGGTGGGAGCAGAAAGTAGAGGCTGTCCAGATCGTCCTGGCACAACCTGTTTATTTTGTTCCCCTCTTATCTAAACAAACTGCTCCACTCTATCTGGTTCTGTTCTTCGTTCGCTGTCATGCAACTCACTTAAGATGTCGGCCGCTAAATGTTTCAACGGCCTAAAGAGAAGACCTGATTAGTTTAGGAACAGTTATCCAATTAGAGCAGCTGTGATTACTATGTGAGCTTGATGGGTTGCAGCCTCGCCTGGTCCACAGTGTGCCAAAGAACAACGTAGCAGGACGCTCACCGAGCCAAATTAAACATGGTCTGGCAATTTGGGGCCGTTAGGATGCAAAACCTACACAGTTTTAAGATTCAAGATTAGAAAAGGAGTTCTGAAAACATCCATAAAAGTGGGCTGATCACAGGAAAGGTTCTTATATTGTTCACAGATCATGGACCACAGACTGAGATAATAAGTAACCAAGGCTTATTCTGCTCTGCTGTCTCTCAAAATTAGGTTTTGTATTTTGGTTGAAAATCTTGAATTACATTTTTTGATCAATTACTTTTGATGAAGATAAAAGAGGAGCAATATTCCCCTTGAGATTCCGTGTGTGGAATACTCCTTCATTCCACAGTCTAATATACTATATTGAAGTCTGTATATAGATTCTTGCTTTTGCTGCCTGTTTTTGAATCGGCAAAACAGTTTCAACGGGGAGAACGTCAATCAGGAACATTTTAATGACACTTGATGTGTTCTACAAAATGAAAATTGACAAATGATCAACATCAAAACAAACATACTGAACGGAAATACTTCATTACTGAGTCACACTGTGTTGCAGTTAATATAACTGAATTCAACTGAATACAGAACATATATTACTCATAATAATAATACTGTGAACAATATTCTGTAATGAATGATGGACACACTCGTACTTTACTAGATAAACCTGTACAATCTTTTGCAGTTCAATAAAACAGCTCCGTCATAAATTAAGCATCACAGACTTTATGGCAGAACAGTTCTATTAGACGGTAAAGCTGCAGATAATAAAGTGCCCACTGAGTGTGAATAGAAAACAGTTACTGGACTTTAACGCTGTATTGAAAGGTGAAATCTACATTTAAGACACCGAGCACATCTTAGTCAACTTGCTCTTCTTCTTCACACGGGGCGCCTGATGGAAAGCTGCTGTTCTTTGACCGTCCTGTCCACTCGTACGATCCGTCTCAGAGACTTGATCCTTCTGTCTTTTACATTCACGTTTGTTATGTCCCAGCTGTGCCTCCCGGGGCAGATTATCAATGAGCTCGTAGAGGGTGAAGATGCTGAAGCAGATCTCATCGTAGGCTGTTTTGGTGCCGCACTCGAACAGGCAGGCGAAGGCCACGGCGGGCGGTGCGCCGAGAGAGGGGGGCAGCTCCAGATAGGCGAGGTCAGAGTAGGCGCTGGGGCCGTCGTAGATCACCCAGGGGCCACGCCAACTGTCTGGATCACGGGGAAACAGGCTGAGGTACACACCCAGATCCCTGCGCCCAGTGGTCCATGTTGGGTGGGAGTATACCACCCAGGTGGGGGTGAGGAAATACGGATGATTGGGTGTCAAGGAGCTGGTGGGAACAGAGGTGGTGTGATTTGAGTCAGTCATGCAGGATGTCCAGTGTCTGGAGTGATGTTTAGGTTGGTCTAAGTGATTGTCAAGAGAGTGAGATAAATGTAACGGGGCAGGGAATCCCACAATGCTACCATGACACCCATTTCCAGGCTCCACCAGCCGCTGCACCAGCTGCCCCTCCCGAAACACCGCTCCGTCATCCAGACTGAGGGCCTGCACCCTGTACCCCAGAGGGCTGCGCGCATTGCAGTACAGCACGTTAGTCCCGTCCTCTTCATCCACAGACACCATCTGACACTCCACGCTCTCCGGCACGGGCACCGCCTCCCCGAAACGCCAGGTTCGCCCGTGGGTGTCACTGTAGAAGCAGAAGGCGTGGGGAGTGGTCTGGCAGAGCTGTCCGAAGCACTCTTTGCACTCGATGTGGTACGCGTAGGCAGGAACCAGCAGACGGCCGGACTTCAGCTGGATGCCGTGACCCGGGCCGAGGGCAAAAGTGGCCCATTCTGCAGGGACAGAGGAGGAAGTGACTTATAGGCCCTATGTAAAGGATATGTTCACATTTGATCAAGTCAGTCTTCAAACAAAACTATCCTTTAATAGGTTTAGTTATATCATATCTAGAAAAGGTTCCCTAAAGTACAAACAAATATGTGTAATGTGATTCTTACAATAGATTTCATGGTATAATATCACTCCGTATGGTTTGAATTTGCTAATTGAAAGTCTCTCTTTAGTTTCTAATCCAACAGCAGTGAGACAGAACTGTAATATGATGTGTGACCCGTCAGTACAAAGCCACATCTACTTGTGACCGCTCATCTCAGGTTGCATGATTTGATTGTGAACAGTTCAAAGTGTGATTTTTGATTTTTCAAATTGTGTCATTTAAATAATTTTAGAGGCCTGAAGACATAAAACTATTCAGTAGAAGCAAAGATTTGAGAAAAATACAAATCTACAGATTTAATAGTCTTAATTTTGTTCTTTGTTTTCTAATCTGACAATAGATGATGATAAGGGGGCATTTTCAGATTTATAGTATTCACCTAAATTAAACGAGAGAAAAAAAAGGATCATAATTGATGGATCAGAACCAGAGAGGTGATCTCTTTTTAATTTCGTGCATTCTTCTTCATTGTCAAAGCCTGGTGCCCACATCACCCACAATGCAACGTGTCCACTTATAGTTCAGTCAGGAATGCAGACTGTGTGTTATAGTTGCGGCTAATGTAGCCTCTAACTGCTAGCCTCAAGCAGAGATGAGGAGCAGGCTACAGAGGTCTGGTGAGCTCACTTCTTTCGAGCTCTGATGCTGACTCAAATGACATAATTTAAGGCAATATCACACAGCTCCCTCAAGGGTTTACTCCCCAAGACCTGTAAAATCAGTGAAGCTCCCTTTTAAATAGAAATCTTTCTCTGTGTTTAATATTCATAATAACACAAAGGAAGTCTGTTTCGCGGTGGATTCTCCCTGTTTGTATCCCTGACCTTTGATTGTATCTCCTATGACCCTCGTGGTTAGGTCGGTGATAGGACTCCAGGTGTCTCCGTTATCAGTGCTGCAGATGTAGCAGAGACGGGTCAGGTTCTTCCCCGTCACCAGCTGATAGGACTCCGAGGTGTGGCCGAGGACCGCGATGAAGAACAAGAAGAGAGTGTTTGTGAACTCGTCGTACACCGGGCACGGGTTCATGGACCGGTGGCCTGGCAGGAAGGCAGTGCCCAGGACACGCATGTCCTCCCACTGCAGCAAGGAAAAGGAAGAAGGAAAGGAGATTAGAAATGACGAGTCTAAAAGATATGATCACTCTACATTATATCTGAACAGATGTAGCAGAATGCTATATAGACAAACACAAAAGGAATGTTAGCATTCAAATTAAAGTGTCAGGTCACATATTTTCTCACCAATCTCATAATTTACAAACTTACATAAAAATGTTCTTTTACCACTATCATTGTTGTTATTATGGTTTTTATTTCAATGTGTATTTACTTGATCAATCTCAAGCACCAAGGAGTGACTTCATTGTTTATTGTTTACTTTTATGTCTTATTGTATTGTATCAGTATGATTAATGATGCTGTTCTTTCTGAAAATATAGTGTAGTTGCCATATACTGTAATGAACTTCCTCATTATCTGAGGCTTTCTTTCTCTGTAACTTTTCTAACCTGACTGTGTTACCTGTTATTTGTGTATTTACAGTATATAGTTGTTTTTAAATCAGTAACTTGAATTTGGAGCTGTGCATTTTGAAGGAACTACTACTCTTACTCAAGTAAACAAGTGCTTTTCCTTTTTGCTTAATTAAAATCAGCAGGACACTTCAAAGTCCAGAGCCAGTGACTCAACACTGACCTCCACATAGTTCCTGTAGAAAGTTCCTCTCCTCATGACCAGCAGGTGAGCCTGAGAGTCGGACGGGCTGAGTCTCTCCTCACAGAAGGCCAGGAAGGTCCTGGAGCGGGACAGGAACAGCAGCGCTGGGACTCTGTACGTCACTCCGTTGGGCTCCTTGTGAAAAAGCACCGACCTCGCTGGGAAATAGGGCGACCTCATACTCTCCGGTGTGTGTGTATTTCAGGGTAACTCCAAATCTTCTGAGAAGGAGCTAAACAAAGATACACAAACATTTATTATGCAGAGGAAATGTGTAAAAGTAGATATGTAGGGATCTATATACAGGTCAAAAAGAATTGTCAAATTGTTGTTTGTGTACTGTGGTGGAAAATTATTTTACCCGCTGTTGAGTCTTATTAAACTGAAATGAAGAATATCGTGAAACAGGAATTGTCTTTACAGTATATATTCTCTGGCCAGAGAAGAGGCAGAGTCACTCAGAGTCTGTAGAAGTGTGCACTACACAAGTAAAAATCACACCAAGTTATATACAAGAGTGATCAAGGGTGGGGGCCTGTGTACTGGAACATCCGGTTTCAGGCCGTGCAGGCCATGGTAGTTAAAGTATGAGAGGTGCTTTATCTGTGTAACAACAGACACACCGATATATACGTTTTATCATTAAGGCACAGAACATGTGAATATACAATAGGTACGTTATCCAACACAGAGAAGAAGAGGATATGTGTGCAGGCAGTCAGCTGCTGCATGGATCATAAGTCTCACGATGCAAGCTTATGATAGACTGTTTCACAACAAGTATATAAAATAGTTCTACTTATAAGAATATAAAATACACATAAGTATATCAAATTTCCATTAAACAAACAGCAAGATACATTTGAGCATGTGTGCTAACACAAAGGATGAAGGTCTACTGAGTTCAGAGCAAAAGCACTTAGGCATTTACACAATATACTAAGTATAGAAATATATGGTGCCCCTGTTAAAGCTGCTAAACATCACATTTAGTATGATTTCCTTTTCAGTACTGCTTTACACATGCAAGACTATTTAATACATTTTAACACAAGCACAATGTCCTACATATGAATCTAACTCTAAAATAGGTCACTTACCTTACTCCAGTCTTTATCAATGAAGTGAAATAGAAATAGAAAAAGTATCGTTGTACAACTAAACTTGCTTCACTATAACATTCAACACATATCCGGCTGCTTAGTAAAACCTTCCGTGTGAATTATACACACGGAAAGTGGAAGTAGCATCTAATGCACATGCATCATTAGCAGAAAACTGTAAATAACTACAGAGTACTCACATTCAGAGTAGTGTGAAAACTGCTGCTTCTCTGTGAAGATAATGCAGGATGTGAATGTGTGTGTGCGTGTGTGTGTGTGTGTGTGTGTGTGTTTGTTAGTTTGTGGGGGTTTGAAAGTCATGGCCTCTTCTCTCTGTTCCCCATTCATTCCGGCAGTATGGAAGGCTGTTCACTGACCCAGAAATGGACCACACTCATCAGATCTACATGCAGCTTTGGATGAATCAGCGAGAGCAGCCATTGTGGAAATGAACAATGATTTGTTGATCTGCCCCCTCTGTGTCCTGAGTGCTTTTCATTTTCAGTAAAATCTGCAAGATATAGTATGTAGCCTACTTTACCGTTTACAAACATAAGCTCATGCATTTCCACATCACTGTGTTTTTAACTATTATATGGCTTCTCAGGGGCTCAGCTCATATTGTACAGACATGCAGCTTGGAAATCTGTATGCCCTGTGAAAAGGGGATATTTTCCCTGAATGTCCTTTCAGGTAGCATTTCTGCTCCCCCTCCCACCAGCATCAACCCACACTGATCAAATGTTTTGAAGGGATATAGGAAAGTAGATTAGTGTTTGGGCAATGGTTGGTGTTAAAGGTCTGACATTCCAGGCCAAAATGATGTAATTTTAAGGCTGCCAAAGAAATCCACCTGGCACGCTGAATACAGGACATAAAAAACCCCAGAAAGTCATCTATGACGTCATCCGTGAGCGACCCGACCCCACATGGCAAACAGCTGAAGTTTTGACGGCACTTGCTTAAGGTAGCGTAATGCTGCGGTCTTGACGTTATAAATGATGACTCTATTGTACCTGATTTACAATGAGCAGATTAACAGCGTGTTTATTACCCGTCTTCTGAACAGGGAGTCACGTGTTAGCTTGTATGCTAACGGGTTATTAAAGCTAGAGAGTCTGGACTGAACGTATTAGCTTCACATTTAAAAACAAACGGATAATGTTATTTTAGAAGCTGGGACCAGTGAATGTTAGTATCGATAGCCTGAAAAAGTAAAGCTATTTTCTGTCGATTGAGTTATTGATTAAGTATTCATATCGGCTCTAAATCCGTTTTTGTTGTAACTATTTTAGAGATATAGTTCAATACTGCTGCTGAGTGCCCCCCCCCCTTTTGTACTAAATTTGGTTTACAACGTTGCCATCAGCTGTGTGAAAGCAACAGCACAAACTAATGTATATCTCCTCCTTGGAAACTTACACTTGGTAGGGTCAGCATGGCCAGGCAGTGGTCTGAGGGCCACTCCACATCCATCCTGTGTGTCGGGGTGTCTTCAGGGCCCGAGGGCCTCCTCGCTTCAGGCTCTGAGAGTGGAGAGGTCACGGTGTGGAGCCAAGAAGGGACCATCATAGGCCGTCTCACTCTCCCTGGTAAAGAGGACAGCACCAGTGTTGTGTTCTCACCAGCAGGTCTGGGCCAGCTGTATGTGTCCCACGGAGACGCAGTGAGCGTACTGGACCCCCGAAACCTGAAGGGCCCAGTGGAGGAGTTTCAGGGTGCAGGGGAGGAGGAGATTAACGCTTTGGCGCTGAACGATACGGGTTCAGCGCTGGCAGTGGCTGATGACTCCGGAGCAGTCCGGGTACTGGAGCTTCCTGGGGGGAAAGTATTCAGGACTCTTCGGAGACACACAAACATCTGCTCCTCGGTGGCTTTTCGACCTCACAGACCGAATAACCTGGTGTCTGCTGGACTAGACATGCAGGTGAGTGAGAGGACCATATGTACTTGCATCATGTACCAAGACTACTTTTGATTTCTTTCCTACTGCAGATTTCTTTCACATTTTTTTTTTTTTATCACTTTAGGTGATGCTGTGGGGTCTGCAGAAGACTCGGCCTCTTTGGACCCTCAACCTCCAGGATGTGGCCGAGGAAGAAGACGACCATCAGCAGCGTCCCGGTCAGCTCTTCAACCCGCCGCTGGTCCACTGCGTGTCTGTGGCGAGTTGTGGGAACATTTTGGGTTGTGCAGCAGAGGACGGGCGGGTGCATCTGATGCGGATCGGCAGCGGCTCTAAACTGGACCAGCAGGGAGCCGTCAAGGCCCACAGTCAGGGGGCCTCACAAGCCCACTTTGTGAGTTTCCTTTCCCACCCTCACTGGCTCGTCACTGGGGGGAATGACGGCCAAGTCGCCCTGTGGGACCTCAGTAAGAACCCAGTGGTGACTCCGGAGGCAAAGGCCAAAACTAGAGTGGTGACGGCCCCACGCAGGAAGAGTAAGAGCAAGGCAAATAGGAAAGAGCAATGCCAGGATAAAGCAATGAAGGTTGAAATGGAGGAAGTGGAAGCAAGTGCAGAGGAGGCGACGGAGGAGAAGTTGGGGCCCAAACTGAGCATCAGTCATGGGGACAAGGTGAACTGGTTGTGCCCTGCTGTGCTGAAAGGAGAACCCAGTGTGGTGGTTGCAGATCAGAGCTCCTGTCTGACGGTTTACCCTCTGTCTCCGCTATAGATTCAGGTTCTGTCATCTTTTGTTCTCATGGTTGCAGTACAATGTTTTCTTTAGTTTACATTGAGTATACACTCCTGTGTTTGATACTGTTAGAAGTTGCAGCATCATTATTTCTTGGAGATTTTGATGTTAGGATCTCCTTTAATTCTTACTTTTAATTCTAACTTTAAGCACTGAACAGTGGGTGAAGATCTTCACAGAAGCAGACAAACATCTGTTTTTACAACACATTCAACAAACTAAACGTGTAATTGTTTTTTGGGTCTTGTTTAATGACAGATTTACTGATATTGCTCACGTTGTGTGTGGTCCTATGAAAATTGTTCTGCTTTGAAATATATTTTGCAATATGTGTTTTTGTGGACTGTAAAATCTACCACATTATAGACAAAAGCAATCTGCATGTTTAACTGAGTCTGCGGTGCTCTTGTAGAGTAAAAACATCTCAATCCAAACCAGGTGCCGGACTACAAAGACAGAAAGTCAACTGAAAGCTGTTTCCAGGATGTGACATTTCAAACACTTTATTTGAAGAGACATTTTTTTAAATGAGTCTAAAGCAGCACCTCATGATCTGACAGCAAGCTATAATGATGTAATGTACAATTAAGATTGTTTTTTTTCCTGTGTTGATTAAACCACATTTGCTGCTTATTAATCCTGACAGGATCTTCTAACATTTAAGAAAATGTGCTGTGTGGACTCATTTGAATCAATCAAGCAGCAAACACTTTGTCAAGTTTTTTTTTTTTTTTTTGTTTTTTACACAACACAAAATCTCAATAAATTCATAGCAAATGCACTGTATTCACGCAACACTTTCAAACAAGTAAACCATTCTATTGCAGACAAGCAAAACACTTCTATAAGAATCCTAGAAATAAAGGCACAAGTCTTACTGTCCAAGTAAATTAATGAATCCAATTCCCGCCCGTCTGCTCAAGTTTTAAACAAAAAAGGTGAAACTCTGACAGACTGTATCCATTTCTTTGAATCGCAGCAACAGCAAATATTGTACTTTACAGAAATTCCTTAAACCAGATTTGTTTTAAAGCCAAATAAAGCTCTCAAGTGGATGTTCACAGTAACATTTACACTGAATAAGCACATGATCATTTCTCAGCACTGCAGAGCGACCTGATAAACTGCGACATCATTTTCCAAAGCATTATTTCAGTCCTTTTTAATTTAATCTGTCTCAAAAGTTCCTTCACCTTTTGATGTAATTAAGTTTTACATTGACAGCCAGCTCAGAGGACCATGTTTGACTGGTAACTCCGATCAAATAAATCCTCCACTGAGATGTCCTCCCTCCTGTGATTACTGAGGCCTGAGTCAAATTCTGCACAGCGGATGTTGAGTTGCTGCCTTTACAGTTTAGCCAGACTCTTCTCCAGGCTCTCAATGTCTGCACCCCCCTCTTCACCCTTGCTGCCGCGGGCGCTGCACTCCAGGAACTCCACCTTCAGGGGCAGCTGGCTGAACTCAAAGTCTTTGCCTTTTTTCCCCAGATACACACTGCCGCCCACAGAGCCGTCCTGAGAGCTCAGGGCTGCAGAGTGCGTCACTCGCAAGGTGTTCCTACGAGAAACAAGAGGCAGAAAAGGTTATTCACCAAACCAAAGGCTCAGGACGGGTCTAATATGAATCCCAACTGCTCCCAATGGCCAAAACCTGACTATCAAAGCATTGAAACCGTCACACATATGAGGAACGTTACATTTCTGACAGAACAATCAATATATTGACAATTAAACAAGGAAAATATTATGATAGAGAACTTGAGGAAATTGACTAAAAATAAAGCTACAATTGGAATCAGGCAGTAAAAACAAATATATCAGTAGCTGTACTTACATTTCCTTTTCCAGCTGCTGCTGTATCAGTTTAGCTGATTTTGCCATGGTGATATCTGTGAAATAAAGAGACCAGTAAAGGAATAAGCAACTTTAGGGTGTAGAAAATGAAGAACAAGAGATTTAAGTGTTGATAAATGGGGTGAAAGCAAATGGATCGATGAACCTTGTTTGTTGCACGCTACCAGGAGAGCCGGGGCATTCCTGGAGATCACTGTGTCCGTCAATAAGATGTACAGGAACTCGGCCACGTCCCTCACCTCCTTCTGGAAAATAGCGCCGTCGACTACAAACACAATGGCTCTAAAGACGGGATGAGTGGGAGGAATAGGAGAGTGATGAAGGGAATGACCTCACCCATTAGACATCATGTAATGTTACTCAGACAGGCTGTTTTTGTTCTCACCTGGCTGAAGATTTGAACTTCTCCAGGTATTGGGAGCGAAGACTGTCATGTCCAGGCAGGTCAATCAGAGTCCAGGTGCTGCCCTGAATACAGGAGAGAAGGGGGGGAGACACCTGTAAACCATGCTCATTATGAAGGTATGATGCCTGATGAGGTTGTTCTTTACTCACCCTTTCGTTTTTGGCTTTGTATGGAGCACTGCTGTCAGTGATGGAGGTCTGTGTCCGCTTGAACTTTCCTGACAACAGCTGCCAGAACATGAAATGCACTTTTAGAGAGCAGACTAACCGTGCATCACTCTGTCATTGTGCTGAACACCCTGTGATAGACAACGTGCCACGTTTTAGTTAACTCACCCGGCTGAAGAGGAGGGTTTTCCCAGCGTCACACAGCCCGACGAGCAGGACAGCACTTCGGACAGTTTTGCTGGAGAGAAAGTACTTCAGAAACACTGCAGAGATAAAAACAGAAAGACCGGTTACTAAGTTATTCTGATTTAACCCCACTGTTACCGATGAGCCGAAGATACTCTACGAAGTTGAATGACTTCCGTTGAAAACACTAATAAGCTGCACAACTGACAGATGTTTGCTTTAGCTTAGCAGTTAGCTTCCTAGCTTGCTAATTTGGATACTGGCATTTTTGAGGCACATGTTTCCTAATTAAATGGAAATTATAGATAACAGGTTAACGCAGAATATCCTGCTGACAAAGCCGCTTTCCATCAACTCTACACTTTCTAGCTAACTGTGCTAAACTAGACTAAACGCTGGGCCTAGCTTGCTAAGCTATGTTAGCATGCTAACGGTAACTTCTTACCACAGGTGATGACAACGACGGCCAAAGCGACGATGACGCCGATAAGAAAAATGGGGTCTTGGTCTTCCAGCTGTTGTCTCAGAGATTCAATGAAAGGTTCTAATGGGTTTTCTGACATTTCCACGTCTGCTTTTCCCCCCATGTTGCCACCGGTGTTGTCTGTCTCCATCTATCCGCTCAAACTAATCTGAACGTGGGACACGTCTTCTTCCTCCTGCGGCCTGTACAGACGCTGGAGTGTCGGCAGGGGGCGCTGTCGGCCTCCTGGTGAAGTTCACTTTATTCCCACAGTGGTTTCGAAACTGTTTGAGTACTGGGACCAGTCAGTGGGTCCCCAACAAAACCAGAAAATAAGTTTGATTTCACTTTTAAATATAGAGGCCAATAAAAAAAATCATAAAATATGATGCAGTACCTTAGGTTACATACAAACTGTACATAAAGTTTATATAAAGTGTATATAAAGTAGCTAAAATGTGCTCCACCTCCAACGGCTGTCACATTAAAATACAGCTTACGATCAAAGCATCAGTAGTATTCCAATATGGTATATATATATATATATATATATATATAAATGTATATAGATAATGAAAATAAATATAACTCTGAAAGGGATTATAAATCTAAAAAAAGTGCTTTTACTCTAATACTTCTTAAAGTCGCCTACATTTAGCTTAATACGTTTATACTTTTACTTTAGTGAAATCTTGAATGTTACTAATCATTTTTTCATTTTGTATGATAAACGTTTGGTTAAAAACATGAAATGGTCTTCCATTATGTAATGATGTATTGTATCTGTTGTAATGTTGCTGATTAAAACGAACAAAGACCACAATAAATTATTTTAAGATCATACTGCTTTCACTCATATCCGTCTTTGTTGGGCTACCGTCGGTTTATGTAGGCTTTAATACGTATATTGTTCATTCTGTCATCGGGACGTTAGGAGAATAGAGACAATAGACATAAGAGTAAGACACCACGACCGAATTCAGTGAACGTGAGTTCACTTTTGGCCATCACAGTCATATCACAAGACCTATATAAAAACTCAAGGGTGGTTTTCGGTCAGACAGATGCGCTTTTACGCACTCCGTCTCCAGCACTCACATAGCGCGCTTTTTACGCACACTGGATATTTGACTCCTCAGTCCTCGGCACGATGTCAAACGTCAGAAAACCACATTATTCTATAGTAAGAGGCTGGGTGTCATTCATGTTGGGCTCTTAAGGGGGCCAGTTTGTTTCTCCTCGTGCAGACGAATTGACGGGCTCATTGATGGTTTCAGCGAGGTTTTCTTCGGCTTTCTTTCACCATTCCAACTCTGTAGATCTGTCAAAGAGGGATTTAGAACTTCAGGATTTACTTGAGAATCGTCGGTAGCCTATATCTGCGGATATCTCCGTCAGGGATAAGTCAAAAGGAGATGATGGCTTTATCGTTCCTCTACGTGCTGTGCATGTGGATAAGTTTCGTCTGTCCTTCGCTGGGAACAGGGTTTGTTTATCACTTTCCAGGCATCACTCTGCAGCGACAGCGCATCAAATCGGAACAGAGTGGCATCACTGGACCACCAGGTACCGGGTCCCGTACCCAACTCAGGTGAGCACATGTTCACACTGGAGATTTTCACTGCACATTTTGTAAAATACAACCCTGATTCTGTGTCTTTAGCAGAAACAAATTTGCTGCAGCTCTGTTAAATTGTCACATTTTGTTGACATGTCTTATTGACATCGATTATGTTTATGTTAATTTATCTTATAGTTTTATTAATACGTATGAAATCGATTTTATTTGTATTATAGGAACTGGTGTCAGTATACTGTTTACAGAACAGTGTCCTGTCAGGTGCACAACGGGACAGAAACCTCCGTTCAGAGAGTGTTTCAGGGCTGCCGGTGGCCCGGACCCTGCACCAAAGTCATCAGGTATGACCCTCAGAGTCCTCACACCTGCTCCTCTTCAGCCAAGTCCTCTTCTCCTGTCAGCTTTTTCAGCTGTGCTGTAATGCTGTTACTGTTCTTGTCATGAATGTTGAAAGACCTTTTTAAAAGTAAAACCAGGAAAACAATCAGATATTGATATTTGCTGGTTTGATCATGTCTGTGCATTTGTATGTGTGTGTTTCTGTATGTTACTCAATACATGCCCCTGTGCTGTTTTGCAGCTACAGGACCCTGATCAGGCCGTCCTTCAAGGTTGCCTACAAGCAAGTGACTGCACTGGAGTGGAGATGCTGCCCAGGGTTTGTGGGAGAAGAGTGTCGAGAAGGTGAGTGTCTAATCTGTGCCTTTTTTTCCCGTCTTCGCATGATGTAAGGGCGAATGTGGTCAGAGGCTAAGTCTCTCAAGGACTGAAATGAAAGCCATGTGTTTTGCCCAGACCCATCTGTCTTTTTAGATCTTAACCCACACCAATGCCTTATTTTATGTTTGGTGGTGTGTCATCGGGTAGTTTAATAATCGTGCCTCTGTGCAGCGGTTAGGCTTTTGATATGATTGTAAAGTTGTTTTGAATTAAGATTGAAAGCCTGTTTTGGATTACTTTTGGGAGCACGGAGTGCAGTAAAGCAGCAGTTGAAAGGGATCCTGTGCCCTGCGGTTTTATACCTTTTCTTTATACGGCCGTGCTATCTGTGTCTGGAAGGAGATTAGAAAACACTGACTGTCTCATTCTGCATCTCTGTTAACTGTAGATGGCACAGAGGCAGTTTTCTGTCTCTCTGAATGTCATCATGGCTATTATGTCAAAAGCTCAGAGGACCGGCCAGCAGAGCAGCTTGTAAAGTTGGAGGTATGTATATATATATATATATATATATATATATATATATATATATATATATATATATATGTGTGTGTGTGTCCAATATGTGTGTCCACTACTCACAACCACACTGACAAACATGTTTTCCCGTATTTTAAACATTGTGGATGCCTGTAAAACGATGCATGTGACTGCATTGGCTTCGTTAGAGTTATTTAAAATGCTGAGGAGTTATTTTAACGGTTTTCTATTAAAATCACTCAGCAACTGTTAGATTTTCTGGGGTCGCAGGGCAATGCAGCAATTTGTGTGTCATTGAAAAACACTGGCCTGCTCTGTTCACATTTGTCCAAGATTAACAGTTACCTCAAGTTTTGCTTATTGGTCATAATTACCACACCTTGTTCCATTTTGCACAAATGGTTAGTTGTTGCTCTTGGAGGGCCAAGATTTACCACAAGTTCAGAATACACACGTTAATACTAATGGAATAAACACAGACAAAGCCTTTGGAGACCATTATTCCACACAAAGATTAACACGAACCTACATCCGCCGAGTCTGTACTGCCAGAGATTATGGTTCACTTGAGACCAAAGTGGTTGCAGGAGTGTGAAGAAGTAATCTGGCTGTTTATTTAACGTTTGCTGAAATGTATTTGCAAGTTCTAATGGCTATAGAGCAGGAGGAAAATTGCCTCCATATGGAGAGACGGAACAGAAGGCCACGTTCGACTCGGCGAGGAGACCTGAAAGACGGAGGCTGATGTCACCGACAGTCTGCTTCGCACTGAGGAGAGGAGGGAGAGCTGGCAGTGTGTCCGGGTTAGAGAAAGAGAACGAGAGAACACTGAGGGGAGAAAGTTAGGACCTGTGCACGAGGAACAACAAGGTGTTAGAATTGGCAGTGCAGAAACAGATGTGTAGCAAGAGAAGAAGAAGAAGAGAAGAGAAGAGTAAAGTGAAATGTAATGTGGAGTGTTCCTGTCCCACAGGGCTCCAGCTGCTACAAGCTGCACAGACGGCAGCAAAGCAGAGTGCCGGTTCTGTGGGAAAGAGGCCCCACTGAGATTAATGAGCATGACACTCCTCCACGAGCTCTTCGTAACATACGTGACTGTGCAAGGATCAGACGACAGCTCCGAAAGAGAGACTGGTAGATCTCCTCATGTAGATTAACCTCTGCACAGCAAAACAATAATTTATTGATGGATATCAGGAATACCTTAGAAATAATGGTTGATAATACCACAGGAGAACATTTTACAGTTATGCCCCATCTTTCTATGAAATGGTTCAAAGAACTTATAGGTCGGTCATTTTCGATACATGTCACCCTCATGGCTTTGATTTCTGGAGAGCTGTTACGTGTTGAATACAGATGTGTTTCTATTTGATTTCAACTGTCTTGTTTCGATTGCTTATTGGAGGGGAAGGTATGACAATTCATGCATCGTGTTTTAGAACTTCTGAGGGAGCATAGAGACCTCACAGAAGTCACTGCTCTATAGTAATAACTCCCCAAAAAAACAAAATTGGGTATTTTTAAACTTTGTTTTTGGTCTGAAATTAAACAAACAAGATTTAACGTCTTGGTGGACAGGTTTTGTTACCTTTGGACAGAGCTAGGCTAGCGGTTTCCCCCTGTTTCCAGTCTTTATGCTAAGCTAAGCTACTCAGCTGTTGATTCATATTTACTGCACAACCATAAGAGTGGTATCAATCTTCTCATCTAAACCTCTGCAAGAAAGTAAACACGAGTGATTCCCAAAATGTTGACCTATTTATTTAATCATGGACAATTTGGCGTGTTGCATTCATCCCTGTGTCTTTATGTCACTTAGCCAACATTGTGCATGCAGCTCTGTGAAAACTGCTGCAGTGGAGGCTTTGAGCCAGCTGTTTTATCAGAGCGAGAGAAGACAGCCTTAACCAATGAAGATGACATCACCTCTGGCTTTAGTTTGATGGGGTTCTGGCTCCACTTCAGAGGCCCCTTGAGGCCCTCAGAGACGTAAAGACATGAAGAGGGCTAGAGTCTAATTGAAGTCCGTGTAAGTTGAGGAGATGCTTGTTTCTCTCACCTCTGCACACACTCCTGTTGTTTTCATTTTCAAAACTCTGAGTCATTTTCTGCCTCACTCTCGTGGTTTATTCTTTTCTTACCATTATTTCTTCTAAAAAACGTTCTTTGTTTTGACAAATATAAAGGCCAAATCTGCACTGGCATCAATGCACACATTATCACGGTTTGTTGGGTTTAGGATTGAAGTTTCTTGTCTCTTCCCTGAAAATAGCCCCAAATGGAGGCTTCACAGTTTTATCAATGTTAAGAGTTGAAACGATTATGCGATTAATCGATCAGTCGATCAACAGAAAAATGATTGTCCGACTATTTCGACAGTCGGTTAATCATTGCTCTCCTCCAGCCAATCAATTGTGAGGATGTTCTGCATTTATTTGTGTTATTGTGACCCTAGGCTGAATATTTGACGAAAACAAGCAATTTAAATATGTTGTCTTGGGCTTTAGAAAATTGCTGTGGACATCCATCACTATTTTCTGAATTGCTTTACACCCATTAACTGAGAAAATAATTATAGCAATAACAATAAGCATGCAGCACTTAAAATGTCTGACATTTAGCATTTACATATGCACAAATCTGCAAAGGCAATGCTGGCGTTTGATCTGGTTAATGAATCACTCAATAAAGATGAATGGCAAGTATTTTCACAGTTGCTTTTGGCCTTCACAAGTCCTCTAGAGTGTTCCCTGCGTTAGTGTGTGCCTCGTGTTCTGTCCATAGCCTTAAAGCACTGAGCTCGTGGCCGGACTGCTAAGGCCGAGCTGGTCGCAAAGCTTGAATTTGTGTGTGTTTGGTTGACACCCTGACCCCTCAATATTTTTGACATTCAGGTTTGTGCTGGCTGTGTACAGTGCATCTCAAGATTTACATTTTGCTTTCAGCAGAGTTGTGCTAACACATGACGGCATGGAACACATTTGGGAGAAATGTGTTCATAATTTCCCCGCTGTTGGCCCCTGCACCCCTCCTCCCTGCTCCATCACAGCAGCACCCCCAGCACCCATCTGCACACATACATTGAATTAACACTAGGGATTGTGGGTAACGTCTGTGTGAGGGAGCTTCTTCCAGGACCTCCCCTGATGAGAGCAGTGGCCTTTGATCTCATGCAAAAGCTCAGCAGAAGAAGTTTAACAAAGTTGAATGCTGGGTGTGACAGCACAGGATTGTATTTGGGGAAGTTAACAATACATTTCATTAAAGAAGTGAAAAGGTGCCTAAAAGCTAGGATGTCAACTGTGCTAATTTGTTAATGCTAAAGCTATGATGTTGCTAGAGTCACTGTTTCCCCTCTGCAGCTAAATGAGGAGGAAGTGTGTTAAACCCACCGTTGGAGGGATTATCTAGAACACAGCTATTTGAAACCTTTTAATTACTTCCATTTTTCCATTTTACCATCTGCTCTCGTCCCCTTGGCTCGTTTACCCTTGTCTTGCCCTTGCTTTTTCTTGCCACTGCCGGGCTCTTTATCTTCTATAGTCCCTGCTGCTTTCCACTTTTCTAACTTCCTATTTCCTTTAGATCTGCCGCTCTCCTCTCCTTGGAGTAAAGTGATAAAACAGAACCATATCCCACATGTGCTCCTCCAGACTGCAACCTTTGCAGAGTGAGGATATGACTGATGTCTCTGTTACATCCCTGGCTGTGCTCAGATAAAGGTCAAACTCTACCCTTTGACCTGTTGTGGGCTATGGGATAGTTCAGCTGTTCCTGGTGCTGGTCTGATATGCCTGATGGATGACGCCCTGTTCACGCTCCGTCTGTAGTTTTTCATTTCTGTCATCGGCTTATCATTGGTTTTTCTTGCCTCCATGTGTCCCTCTATCTTTCTGTCTGCAACTCCACACGTGTTAATGCAAAGTAAAGCAGGTAAAGTTCCTGAGTTCATGAAAAAGGTTTCTGAGGTTAATCAAAGCCACATGTCCATGAAGGTTAATGTATTTATCAGTAGGTTTTTGCTGCCTGTAGTCAAGACAGGCCAGGAGCTCTGCCTGTTAATGTGTAAGGCTGTTTAGGTCTTATTTTTGCTAAAGAAATATACATATTGTTTGTGGTGGCTTCTCTTATCACCACTAGTGCAAAGATGTGCAAGAAAACATACAAAGAAGACTACGAGTCCACAGCCATGCTAACGGCGCTGTAACATGCTCTTAATAATTATCTTAGTATGCAGGTATATAACCATTTCATCCTTACTAAACACAAAGTGAAGCTGAGACTCAATGGAATGTCTTCAGTTTTTTTCATGTATTTGGTCATAAACCAAAATACAAGACAGATTTAGACCCGATGAATGCGTGTGTAAGTGTGCAATTTCATAGCAATCCATCCAATAGTTGTTGGGACCATATGAAAAGTCAGAAGATCACCAAAGTCAGTCAGATTCATCTTCTCAAAAATGTTAAAACTAATTTCATGACAATCCATCCGACAGTTAGTTATTTCTCTTTCCATTTCATCCGACACCGCTGCATTTGAACTTGAAAAACGTTGCCCTTATTTAAGCCGATCGCCGTCTCTCTTCACCGAATTCACACAACATCATCTCATAGCATGACGATGGCTGTATGTCTGTGGAACCAGCCGGGTGCATCTCTAACTGTGACTGATGTGTAGCCATTGTTTCAACATCGGAGCAGCGTGTAGTGGACGGTGCCGCAGGACGATTGGATGCATTCTGCCCGTTTGAGGGCATGAGGGAGAATCAGGTGTTTTCTCAGAAAACCTGTCATGAAGCAGCATTTTACAAGGAGGAATGTGAGATTAATTATGGCACCTCATTGTGGTTCTGAAGTCCATTATTTAGTTATTGACTGTATCTTGTGCATGAAATAATGGCCCCATGCATCAAATTTAATGGGAATTTCCATTAATTGCCAAATATTTCTTACTTGCTGAATCCTTCAAAGCTTCAGTTTAAAGAAATGCTGTGTGGCCTGTCCGCTGGCATCATGGTGAAAAATGCAAAATGGTCCCACTGTGGACGAGACATATTGGTTTAGAAAAAAAAGAAAAAAAAAGCCAAGTTCACCGTCCTCCACCAGCCACCGCGGTCAATGTGGGTGTGTGATTTAGTGAGTGAGAGAGTTTGTGACAGACAGAGTGTGTGTGCTAGTGTGTGTGTGCTAGTGTGTGTGTGTGTGTGTGCGTGTGTGTGTGTTCTGTGGCAATTGTTCTCCATGCCAGCAATAACTGACCACTTGCTGGCTGGAGCCGACACACAACAGGCTCCTGGGATAAAGCCAGTTCTTGGAGGCAGACTGTGGTCTACACATACACACACACACACACACACACACACACAGCTCACAGACTGGGCACACACTTGTCTGTGTATCTTGGGGACGTGACAGGAACTCTTAAGATGATCCAGAAGATGTTTCAATACATCACCCTTCCGTCCTGCTCACGAATATAGACAGAGTGTTTAGTGGCAATGAAAAGGACTGTCCACAGCTGTGTGCGTCATGGCTTATTTTGTGGTTGTCTGTCTGTGTGTGTGTGTGTGTGTGTGTGTGCGTACAAAAAACTGTGAGAAACTTAGAGTGATTTCTTTGATCAGTATCCAGGTCTAATGTAGGAAATGTAGCCGTCTCAACAGACGATGCCCACAGTCTGAGTTACACTCTTGCCAAATTATCCTGTGCTGTCTTGTACTGTAGATCACACAATAAGGGAAGGGATGATTCATCAAACAAGTCAATGTGTTTACAGTTTGCTGAGATGAAATATGCTCTTTGTTTTGGTTTCTGCTGATGTTTGAATTAGGATTTATCTTCCAAGAGATTCTAATCTTATTTACACTCTCGTGCTTCGCCTGGAGGTCTGCTATAGTCTCTCATTTGTCAGCGCCAGACTTAACAATTGAGCTTATCTCACAAGACTAACGTCAGCTTTCCTTTTGTATCATATGGAGGTCTAATACTTTTGCATGGTGTATTACCCAGAAATCAGATATTTTTGTTAAATGCATTCTATGCGATTTGGTGTCTGTCATTTAAATGATTTTCACGTGTCTTGTGATATTGCATTTGTTATGTTTTTCATGGGAATAAAAAAAAGAATAAAATATTTTAATTGACATAATGTAAGTCTTGACATACTTTTCAGTAAATTTCCATTGGCATCAGACAAGATGTCGCATCTGTATAGTTAAAAACATTCTCAAACATACAAATCCTTCAAATCTCTTTGGAGCAGAAAAAGTTCCCAATTCTCTCTGTTTATTTGGCTTCACTAAAGACAACACAATTCTGAATCTTTCCCATGAGCTGAGAGAAATCCAAGAAAAATAACCCTGTCTTATGTTGCCATGGTGTAATTATGGATCCAAACAGACTCTACAGCTGCGGTACCGTTCTAAACATCAGCTCGAGCACAGCGGAAGTTTGGTTTTCTAACTATAATTAAATTCCAACTGCAAACACAGGAATCCTGCCTGCCACCTTGAAAAAAAACAAGAAAATAAGAAAACATCGTTGTTTTGCTCTGGTTCACATTTCCGGTAGATTGACTCAGTTGTGGTGTTTTCTTGTGGCTTGTATTTATGACATAATACGATATGGCTGGTTTTATTTCTGGCTCTTGTTGGACAACAGATGAGGTTCAAACAAGTTAGCTCATTAGCAGTGGACGTAGCGTAGCCCTACAGAGCAGACAACCATCATGGACAAGGCAGCGTTGCTTATATTTGTTGTCAATTGACCGTACAGCAAAGCAGACATGATTCATTATGCTCACATTTAAGATGCTAACATGCTGATATTTAGGAGGTAGAGAGTCCTGACGTGCTTTTAACTGAAAAACTAAAACGTCAACCACATAGTAGCGTCAAAAAAAATGTAGGGGAGCACCAAAATCTTCTGGATCCATCCTCTGGTAACTATGAACGTCTGTACAAAATCCATTGAATAGTTGTGGTGGATCTCACAGACTGACATTGGCATTCCCAGAGTATGTATATCTATTTTATGTTAGGTTGTAAAAACTAAATGTCATCACATCATAACAGAATAACTGTTGGAATGCATCACAGATTGATGCACTGTACATAACAGAGAAAGAGTGTGTCAGAGGGTGGAGACTTCCTCTGGGCTGATGATGAATAACTGTGGAGGAGATGAAGGCATATCAACTCATCAGTCCTCTCACAGTGTGGAGCCCACGATTGCCCACAATCTTGCCGTTGTGCTGTGTGCGGCTTTGATGTCCTTTTGTGTAGCCGCTGAAGAAACCTCAGTGCAGCCAGTCACAACAAACTCATGTTGGCTCATTTTGTACTCTGCGGTTGAACAGCTCTCGGTATTTGTGTTGATGAATCCTGAGGAATGTGTATGTGGGTCAAGCTGTTGATTGTTGTTTCCGTTTGTGGCTGCGCTCCAACAGCGGGATTGAAGATGTAGTTTGAAACGAGGCATTGAGAGAAACCACTCCCACGCAGACTGATACACCACTGGACTGGATGTACATGATTGTAGACACACACACACACACACACACACACACACAGACATTCACCCTTTCCTACTTCAGTGAAGCAGAAAACTCAGCTGCTGCCATTTGCACCCTGCGTGTCAGAGACTCTGATTTAGGCAAACCAAAGCTGTTTGGGTCATTTCTATTGTAAGTTATTCATGAGCACCAGTTGTTCCTCGTTCTGGGTTTCCCTGCTATGACCACATTGTGGGTGGGTTCCGTCTGTGGGACTGGCAGCTGACATTCCAGACTCCTTATGAGCCGTAGACCAGAGGAAGGCTCACATTTAGACCAAATACTGGGGGTTTCTATAAAATGGCAGCAGAGAGAGAGGAATGTGTAGGTATCTGCGCCGCCACAGTCGCCTCTCTGTGTCGTGTCACACACACCTAAACCACGCCCGTAGAGCTGCCGGTAACTCCTCACAGGACGCTGAGTGATCTGAACCACTGTGGTTCAAACGCATTACTGATGTGATGTCTGATCTGGTGATGTCGTTAGAATCCAGCTGCTGTGCATGTTAATGTTTTTTACAGCCACTGCTACTGTTTTGGGTCACTCTCACCATCCTATTCAGTGTGGTTTTCTGCGAAAATATACCTGCTCAGCACCAAGCAGCGGACTGATACTGTTAGCGACTAACCAGATATTTCCTTCAGGAGCTAGTAGAGATTAGAAACAGCCAAAAGAGAGGGAATGTTGGACTTCATCAGGTGGACAGAAACACGACTCCAAATGAATAATAATGAAGTCATTGATGTGTTTTTAACAATAGGGGATGTCTGTCTTTTGGTCTTTTTCTGGGATTTGCTGACAGTGAGAAAAATATAAAATATGTGACTTAAATACATTGTGTCTGTAAATCACATTTCTCTAGACATGTGGTCATGATAGTGAAAGCATGTAGATGCAGGCGTTTGTTTGTGTGTGTGTGTGCGTTTGTTGTTTGTGTTTCCATGTGCTACACACAGTTAATGGTTTTGGTATCTGAAGGAGGGTGTAATTGGCAGACGGACGGAAAACATGCTGAGTCAAGAGACAAGCAGGTGTGCACCAGGCTTGCGTATGACAGAGAGAATTTCATGTGAGGTCTGATAATATTTATTGTGTGAGTGAGTTATATGATTTGAGGAGGAATGCCTAATAAATTTCTGCGTCTGGTTTGATGGTTCTTGTGTATCTTGGCTTGACCTGCTCAGTGTGGGATAGAGAGAAACTACTGATGGTGCCAGGATGAAGACAAGAAACAGGGATGAAACAGACACGGCAAGAAGGAAAGGAAGGGACAGATGCAGAAGAAGAAGAAGAATCGTGTATGCCCAGGAACTGAACTCATCTTTGTCTGTCTTTCTTTCTTACAGAGTGTTTGAACTGTACCAGTTTCACTGACATGAACAGCAGAATAAATGCCATTGAATCAAAGGTAACAAGGATCACCACAAGCCTGCCTTTATCCCATGAGTTATTTGAAGGGATTGTACGCATTTGTACACAGATTACTTTGTACACACCAGAGTGCAGCTGTATCTGAAATCTTCCTCTGTTGTTCCAGATCAAGCTGTTAGGAGACGGACGCTCATCCCTGCCGACAGCCAGCAGTTTACCAGAGGGCTCAACAGACAACGAGGTGGTCGCTCCCCAACCCACTCCTATTGGACCGCCATCATACCTGCTACCAGGTGACAACTCATCATGAAAAACAAGCTTTCTGAAGGATGTGGTGGAGATGTTGAAGAAATGTTTTAATGTCTGTAAAAAAAAAAGGCACAGAAACAAAGTGCACAAAGCAAACCTGTTTCGTTGATATCTTAATGTCTTTATCTTAGCGTCTTTATCTTAGCGTCTTTTATTAGACTTCTTTCAAACCCCCACACCTAAAGTTTGTTTTCATAAGTTGAGTTGCTTTCCTCTTGATGTTTTAAGTGAACATTTGACTCTGACTGTCTCTTGTTTTTTTGGTCCTCCAGAGCCCATCGGACCACCAGGGCTTCCAGGTTCTGCTGGACCTCCGGGTCCGGCTGGAAGAGCAGGCCTCCCTGGACCCACCGGTAAAATATCATCAGACCTTCTAGTCTGATCTGCTCATTTAAAGATGGTTTTAAAAAACAAATGTCTGTTAAACATGATTGATTGATTAATTGTGTTTTTGTGTTTTACCTTGGTGGTCAGGACCAAAGGGGGACAGAGGTCTAGCAGGAGTAATAGGATTCCCCGGCCCTCCTGGCCCACCAGGTGCTCCAGGGCCGAGCTCCTCTCCTGTACGAGAGCGCGGTGACGTTTTTCACGTGGACGATCAAGGTTAGCGGACTATTCTCCTTCAAATTCACTCTTTTGCAGTAACTTTGGGCTGAATTGTCCCAGATGGCCTTAAATAAGAGCGTAATGGAAGTCGATCTTACACACATGGTTGAATTCTGACACAAAAACAATTCTGAAACCATTCAAGCGTTTGTCCGAGTTGATGCCAAAACCACAGGTCTGTTTTGATGAATCGTGTGCTTTCAAACACATTATGTTCATCCTGTTCTCTTTGCAATCATTGTGTCAGGCAGAGCACAAACCCAGGCCAGACGGGTTGTTATGTATGGAAATTGGTTTAAAAGGGGCACAGGTGGAAGCACAGAGCATATTGTAGCTTTTACCAAGTGTTTAAGTAAGCAAATATGTGTCTTTAGCTTTCGGCATAATGGGGAGAGTATTGTTTCTTTGCAGCGAAGGGCTGGTTTTGATTTAGTTTAATAGTTTCCGTGTGTGTTGCTGCCTCTGAGCCACTGTTTACTGCAACCATCACCAACAATGGAGCCAAATACTGAATGTGAGCTAAATCATTTGCACAAGATTAGCTCAGGTGGGTTTTTTTTAAAGACAGAATTAATTGGAAAAATATATTTAGACATTTTTCATTCATGTTATCCACTTAATTACAGCGTCGCCTCTTCTGTCTACACCTCAAAAATACATATATAGAGTGCTAAACATGAAAATAATTAATTTCTCGTTATTTGAAACTTTAACTTTTCATAATCCTTTGAAATATGTCAGTGCAAATGTTCCATCGCTCACGTTTAAAACCTAGGTTTCACCACAGGGAGGCAGCAGAAGTCCATGATGTAATCATTATCTCGGAGACTTCTGGCTCTGATTAGGCTTTTGGCTGCGTCTGCCTCTCTGAGCCCAGAACTGTGTCTGCGGGTCTGGAACTATGTAGATTTGGGTCTGTGGGGCCATGTAAACTGAGGGGGGCCAACTGGCTGTAAATCAGGCCTAATTTGTTAGCTGTCAGCACAACAGTCTGCGTTTGGGGGAAGAGGCCGCGGCCCAGAGCCAAAATCTGGGCTATAGCTATGAGCGAAGGAGGAGATAGTTTGCCACTCATGTGGAGTTTCTCGGGGAGGCAGCCAGGCTCGAGGAGACTGTAACATTAGAAAATTAGTTCCAGAGGGAAATCTGCTCCTTCTAGACCCTTTCTGTGGACTGTAGCCATAATGTAACAACGCTGTCTCAACACAGGGGACACTGACTCGGAGCATATGTTGAAGTGGAGAGGAAGTGTGGTGCGGTTGAAAACAAAATTTATACCTACAAGCATACTTTGAAATAAACTACATGCTGAGAACAAGGCACAACTTCCACCACCCAGATGATGTCCAAGTGTTTACTGCTCTTTGAGATCGACCAGCTGTTAGTGGATTTAATCCTACTGTTGACTGCTGATGAAACTCTGTAGTTTGACTGGTGGCCCTTGATGTCCACCCTTGAGGTTCAGGCTGAGGCCCCAGCAGTATAAGTACATGGATGGATGCAGCAAACAGCTGTTTGAAAGGCATATTGGAAACAAAGATTTAATAGACATGAACAGCTTTGGCCGCCAGCAACAATGCGATCATGGAGATTTAGCCAATTTTGCCAACATCTTTTTGATTATTCAGTTGATTCCAGAATTAAGGTTAATGGACATTAGTAAATATATATATATATATGACTATTTATTATGAAAACTAAATGATAAGTTGTAAATTACCTTTTGACCCTGAATATACATTGTTATTCATTTTATTTTCCGAATCTGTCGTTACAGTCTCTGTTGTCTTTTGTGTAAAGATTCAATTACATTTTTCAGGTAAACTTGTGTTGTTGTTTTCCCCAGAGGAGAATCTTCCTGCTCATCAGATCATAGTCGGGCCTCCTGGTCCAACTGGTCCAACTGGTCCCCTCGGCCCCTCAGGTATGAATATAAGCTGTTTCCTGTCATGATTTTGGACCTCTTGGGTCCATCATTACAAATGTGACAAACTCAAACTCACAAAACTTTATTTTAAATCCCAGTCAAGATCCCCAAACTTGCAATATGTAAAGAAAATATGTCAAGCTAATTTACAGGACAATTAACCAGAAGAAACACAAGACACTTTGACACAATGACAATAATTTTCTATTTGATATAAATGTGTTGCAACAAATAAGTAATTGTTTGAATTGAATTGAATATGAGCCTTGTATTGATTCAATACAACACTGGTGCAAGCAGATACAAACTATATATGTGACTTTGTTGTGTGAAAACAATGTTAAAGCCTCTTAATTTAAAGATTTCAGTGAAACATTAAAAACACAGGCGTTAAATGTTTATTTAGCAAAACCTGAAAAATCTCTCTCACCAGCGTATAATTGAATTAAATTAAGCAGTGTTGAATTTACTGAGTTTAATTTTGACATTGCACAATAGTCAGAGCCAAACATTTGACATTAATCTCCCTCATGTGTGAATGCTTTTGCGAATGACGCTGCAGGGCCTCCAGGACTGAGAGGACCTGCAGGATTACCAGGCCTGTCGGGACGAGATGTGAGTATCTGAATCTGTTGATCAATAAACAATATGAATGTATGACCGGCATCATTGATACACGACCTTCTGTTTTACCGACATAAGGGCAAGGAGGGCCTCCAAGGCATGCCTGGGGATACCGGGCCTACAGGAGATCCAGGAGAAAGGGTGAGGCTGCTTCGTTATTAGATTAGCAGGCTGGCTGAACATATTTTAGTCTGATGAACCATCAAAATAGTTTATGTTCTATGTTTTGTAAATGGTCTTAGCTGTAATGCAATCTCCAATACATTAAAGGTGAACAAGCTTTTCTTCAAAGACTCACTCCGAGCTGTGACTAATCCTCCTCTCTCGGTCTCTCTGTCTCGTCCAAGGCCAGGCCTCACTAATCAGGGCGGCCATGTCGGATCCCCTCTTTTATCTGGCTCTCTAGTGGGCCTCTGTCTTTAAACTTGATCCCCTTCCTCTCCGAGCATGATTTAAGATTGGAGATCTGGTGAAGAGGTGGATTAGCAGGGAGGGATATAGAATGCAAGCCGGTGAAATGTGTGAGCGAGCAGGAGTCCTAATCTCTTCTCTCTGTTCTCTCTCTACCAGGGCACTCCAGGTGTAGCAGGCGAACAGGGCCTATCTGTAAGTATAAGGTTGTTGCATCACACACACTTATACACACAGGTTAGTTAACTCTGTTTTCACAGGGAGCACCCGGGCCAAAAGGAGAGCCAGGAGAAGGCTTGAATGAGGTAAGAGACATCATTATCTTTTCCTCCTGAGCTCATTTGAAAAATTCTCCTAAACCACGGTGGTGTTATCCAGGGCGAGGCTGTGCAGCAGCTCAGGGAGGCCCTGAAGATCCTGGCCGAGAGGGTCCTCATCCTGGAGCACATGATTGGCGTTCATGGTGAGGAGAAAAACATAGATGGAGGAAAACGTTTTTCCAGGCCTCATCTTGGGGAAATATGCTCATTCGCTTCCTGGCAGAGAGGTAGATGAGAAGATTGATACCACTCTCAAATAAAGGGTTACAGCCAGCAGCTACAGCTAGCTTAGCTTAGCACAAAGAAGCAGCTAGCCTGACCTCTAAAGCTCACCAATTAAGATCTGATATATCTGTACCAAAAATGAACGACAATCTGCCGTTTTTTTTTGTGGGCTGTGTGCCGGACTATTTCTTGGCTCTGAGCAGTTGCCAGGCAACCGGGAGGTTACTGCTCCCCGCCAAAAATAGTCACATAAATGTTTTTACACACGAGATATAACGTGTTAATCAGTGAGATTTAGAGTTGCTGGAAAAAGTATTTTGTTACTTTCGGACAGAGCCAGGCTAACTGTTTCCACTTATTGCCAGTTTGCTGTAGCTTCATATTTAACAAACAGTGGTTTTGGTAAACTCATCCAACTCTCCTGCAGAAAACAAATACAAAAGTTGCCAAAATGTCAGATTATTCCTTTTTAAAGACGAATATTTTTTACCTTCTTGTCTTTCATGTCTTTACACAGAGAACTCTGAGGGATCTGGATTTGGCAGCATTTCGGACCCCCTGTCTTTCTCTGCCACAAAGACCAAGCGACTTGAGCCTGTTCAAAACCCTCTTCAAGCTCCAGTACCGGGGTGGAGACTAAGGCGAACCCCCCTTTAAGGGTTTAGTCTAATTTTGTATTTATGTGTATAATTGTGACGGATGTGGCTCATTTTGATTGACTGAACAAACACCTTTTTTTTTATACCATGTTTCTCATATTATTCCAATTTTATTGCCAATTATTGTCTTTTAACAGCTGTATAAAACAAAGAGATGTTGAGCATTTCATCCACGTGAAAGGCTTTATTGAGCCTTTTTTTGACCCTGTTGCTGTATGCTCTTACTCTACATAACCTTATCAGCAGCCCTTGTACAATGTTGCACCGTGAAATATAATCTCATAAAATGTTATGAGGGTTTTGGCATCTTTCATTCCTCAGATAACAGACTGCCCAGTAAACACATCAGTCTCCTTGGCTGATGTTGCAAATCTCCTCCAGCTGCAATGTGAGTTCCCAAGAGCTGGACCCAAAATATAGTATTTAGTGTCAAACACATTCTTGGATCGACTTCGGGGTTCACCTTGTGTTCGCCTGTCAACCATATTTCTTCCTTTCTCATCTTTCGGTCTCTCTCTGGTTGCTCCGCCTTGTTAAAGCTGAGGTAAGACATGACAGGCTGCCAAGAGTATCTGCTTAAAATAAAGTTAGGTGAAATAGCATCTGGAGAGCGCACATCTGGAAAGCAAGAGGAGGAGATGCTTTAGCAGTTGAGTTTTGGCCCGGAAACGGAAAACCCTGCTCGGCTCCAGTGCACCTTCGCGCGACTGGCTGATGGAGCACTAAACTGGATTACATTGACTTCTTCATAAACTGCCTCTGAGATTTGTCTCCAAGCTGATATGATTGTTGTACAGTATGTCTCTGAGAGACCAAGCCTGTTGGTCTCTGAAGAAAGCTTGGACCATTCCTGGTTCAAGCTTTGGTATCTCCATTACAAGGTTCATGTGAAAAGGGAATACTTTTGGGAGATAAGCTCATTTGTTTCCTTGCAGAAAGTTGGATGAGAAGATTGATACCACTCACATGTTTTTATGCTATATGAAACTGAGCCAGTTAGCAGGTTAGCACAAAGACTGGAAACAGATAGCCTGGCTCTGACAAAAAAAATCAAACCACCAGCACCTCTAAAGGTCACCAATGAAGATCTGATATATCATTTGTTCAATCTGCATAAAATCAAAGCTTATGAACGTCAATCTGCCAGGCAACCGGGAGGGGAAACTGTCAATAAACTAGATGTAAAAATGGCGGCAAAGCCACCAACGTAAAAGTTACATCTGGATAAAATCCAACATTAACACTAGTAAACCAATTCAGCTCATTTTAAGTTTATTAACTGTGTAACTAGTAACACAATGTAAGAAGCCATTTAAGGACAGTTATTTGTTGTGACTGTGAGTTTATGAGTGGTTTATGAGTTTTGGAAATACGCGTCACTCCCAAGTCAGAACAATGGGACGATTTATTGTAACTTCAGAACGAGCCAGGCTACAGAGGCTCACTGCATGCGCTGGAGAAAAAAAAGTTTGCCCTGTTTTTTTTAAATTAACAAGATCATTATCTCAGAATCATGGGAAGAGTTTTCATGGAAAACAATTCTGCTCTGTTTTTGAGATATTTGAAATTCCCAAGAGAAGCTCTGATTTACTTGAGATCTTGATTTCATGGAAGCAAACATGTCCTGTCTGTTTAGTTTAATCCAGTTGTATCTTGGTTTGGATTTGAGATACTGGGAGATAGGCCTAATCGTGTCTTGAGTAATACATATATTTATGTAAGATGATGCATCTTAAATGCATTCACAATCAGGCAATTGTGCCTCAGTTGCCATCATGTTTAAACTAAACAGACAGGACATGTTTGCTTCCATGAAATCGAGCTCTCAAGTAAATGAAAGCTTCTCCTGGGATTTTGAGGTATCAAAATTCAGAGCAGATTTTTTTTCTCCAATTAAAACCTTTCTCAGAATTCTAAAATAATAATCCTGTTAATTCAGAAAACAAAGCAATTTTCTTTTTTCTCCCTCAGCGGATTCCCCCTGTGTTTCCAGTCTGTGTGCTGAGTTAAGCTAACCAGCTGCTACTTTTACCAAACAGACAAGAGAGTGGTATTGATTCTCAATGCAAGCGAGAAAGCAAACCAATATGTCAAACTTTTCCCTCAACCATCATTACCAGAAAAGAGATGGATCCGTCTGTATCTGTTGTTTCCAAACCGATTATCACATGTTATAGAGTCTACCTTTTAAATACTGTTTTGTTGTGTCTTGTGCATGTTGCGTTATCTTTTATACTAAACAATGTTCAGGTGTGCTTTGTTGTTTCATTTGCGAGACTCCATGCTTAACAGATATTTATCTGTGATCATTATTGAAGTAAGATTAAAGTCACAACAACAAAGGGATTCATTTGGTAGAGTCACCTCCTTGCTGCACATAATTAAGTTTACACTGCACACCGCAGCCTCACAGCGTGGGGAGACTATTTACAGGCAGAGGCTTCGCTGCTGCTCCTCCTCCTCTTCCTCTTCTTTTTATCCTTCTGGCTCTTCTCCTCCTTTCACTCTTGCTCTTTGTCCTCTCCGGGGTTGATAACACAACACTAAATTCTCGTCGCCAAGGTTGCCAGTGACATCCAGAGGGAAGTTTGTAAACATCTGATTTACCTGCAAGCAGACAGGTAAAGGGTTTCTTGCACTTTTTCTTTCCTTTTTTCTGTCTTGTGATGATGAGGGCTGTCAGGTTTGCAGAGAGAGGGATCACACATGCGATTACATCTACAGACAAATACAGAGCTGGCTTTTGCCATTTCAATTAGCTCATCAGAACAGGCAGATAAGTGCGGTTATGTATCATTGTCATATATTCCACTCTGGCCTCTTTACGCACCCTTTCATCTGTGCTTTGCCTGCCTGTTTCTGTCTTACTCCTGATGTACCACCACCACCCCCTCCTCCCCCTCCTCCTCCTCTGTCTCTCCCCTCTTGTTTTTCCTGTCTACTGAACAGAGACATGTTGATATGAGGCCCGCTTGCACGGCCACAAGGGAACAAGTCTCTGGTGCTTTTGATCAGCTGCAAGATCAGACATGTCCACGGCTCCCCCGTGTACACTCCAGTGACTGATCATGCAGTATAATGGGCAGGCACAGACAAACTAACGATGCACACCCACACATATTCTCTCTGCAGAACATATAAGCATGAGCACACACACACGCATACATACATGCATACAAACACACACGCGGCACATGTGTTGGCTCTGCTCACAGTGGGGTGGCTTGTTTGCTGGACACAAGGGAGCGAGAGCGAGAGAGATGGCGTGTGTGATTTCCCCTTTCTTGCCCTCTTTTTTTTTTTGCCTTTGACAGTAAGATGGATGATTGCAATCACAGGAGCCATCAGTGAGACAGAGTGGAGGTCTATGGGGCAGTGAGACACAGCCATGGGAAACCAGCCGTCAGATTACTGCACCGCGCTGCCATGGGAACACTGCACTGTTTATTTGTCTGGGGGTTTTGTTGTTTCATATGCATTTTCCTCTCTCTCCTCCCCCCCTCTGTGCGGGCCTTTTTGATGTACAGAGCCTGGAAGTTTCATTATAAAATATGTGTAGGGACAGAGAGGGAGAGCGTTTATGTTTCACAACATAGTAAGCCTACTGTAAGTCAATATGTCTCTTCAAACCAGGATAAATGTGACAGATTTCATAGTGATTAGACTGGTCTCTTTGATCCCTGGAGAGAATGAGAGGCAGACTTTTCTTTCCCCAGTCAACGGATGTTTTTAAGAGAAACATCTGTTGCTGTATAAATGAGATTAGTGTGTCTCTCGCCAGGGGCCATGTAGGTTATGAATGGCACTGTTACTACAGAGGGGGTCTGGAAGAGAGCTGAGAAGGATCTTTGTAATAAGCTGTAGCTGGTAGTTAAAGGGTTTAAATCAAATTAAATTGGCTCAGATTCTGGGTATTCATCAGCGCTCACCTTCAACTTGTTCGACGGCTTCGCCACCACCGGTACCTTTGAATCACTGTCTCATATTGATACATCCAATATTTCACCTTGTTGCCAAGCAACAACTCACCTCACCCTCTGTAAACTTGTCAGCCCGTGACACGAGGTGATATTTCATCCTGCATGAGAGCAACAAGAGAAGAAGAATTACCGGTCCCATCTCTTTGACTTTGAATTAACTGTGATCTTTATTTCACTGACCAAGATAAGCATTGTCTGCATCCTGGAACTTTGGTAGTGATTTACGTTTTTTGTAGGCCTACTGTGCATGTGCGATTGATAAAGTCCTGTGAGAGGCACCACAAGCCACAGAGCCATTTCTGTGGTGTCTGTGCAGACTGTGAAGAGAATCACACATTCAATCCTCCCCCAAGGACTCCTGTTGCTTCTAGGTCAAATATCTTGAATGTGTTTCCTCGGGGTCAGCTCCAGACAAAAGACAGAAAAACGCAGGTAAAGCTGTGAGTAAAAACTGTACAGAGATGATGCACACCGCACCGACTCACTTTCACATGATACTTTGTGTGTCATAACTGGCTTTTCTCTGTATTTTTTTGGTGAATGCTCAAATTTAATACAGAAAATTAAGACTATGTTGCACACACCAAGATTATAGTTTACTGTTTTCTTGTGTGAAATGTTTTTATTCACCAATTTCTTCAATCCAAGAAACGTTTTTCCTTTGGGAGACAATAAAAGCAATGTTGAACTTTAAACTTGACTGAACCAAATGAATTTCACTTAAAACAATAACACAAACCAAACTAAAAACAAATATTTCAATAGTAATTCAGGTTCCCTGTCAAAGCCAAGTTACAGTTGTAGTGTAGTATACAAGAAATAATATAGTAAAACCCATCTACTAAGATAATACAATTAATCTATTTCATTAACCTTCATGTAACTACATTTTCAGCACTGTGCATGAAAAATATAAACACAAAACTCATAATAGACAAAGAAGCAAATAGATAAAATTGCAAATATATAAATCGGATGATTGACTGCACGATATTTACTATCAATTGGCCTGTATAACTAACCAGAAATGTCATTAAAATGGCAAGCAATAGGTAGTAATAGCACGTCAATGAGTGCAATAAACACAAGTATAGATATCCGCCTCTTACTATCATGTGAATCTTCTTTGTGATCAGATGAGCTCTTAAGAAACAATAAGAGGAATTCCCCTCCTTTATTTACTACTAGGTCAACTGTCCAGACAATAGAGACTGTGCTGTATATGTGCTTCCCACGGTAGAAAGGTAATTTACTTAGAATGAGGACATGTCGAACAAGCTCCAGGTCATGTAGCGGATCTATATTTGAGAGTATAAAGAGTGATTTCACTCACAGTAACTCGATATGCTTATAACTCCCTCGTGTCCATGAATGGGATTATGACAGGGATGAGGGGTCTGGCTGTTCTGGCCGTCTGAAAGCATTATTGCTGATAGACGTCAGTGGTTTCAACAGCTGCTGAGGCATCAGCTCATTATAGGGAGCCACAGTATTCACTGCCCTTGTGCCTGCAGGAAATGTCTCATTTGACAGTGTAAAGTGTTAATTCTGTGTCAGGGCACTAACTCAGAGGTGTAAATGTATATGATCCACATCACAGCTTCTGATTCTTATCAAGTGACTCTTGAAGCGCACATGTGCTCCTCCTCTTTCCCTCTCAAGGGTTCTCTCCCCTATTGCTGTAGCCTATAGTTATGACAATATATAAGAGATAGCAAATACATCCATAAAATGAGAATGGCAGTGTAAATAGCAACGTTTGATGAAACAGTAGAGGGTGTGTGTGTGTGTTAGTACAGCTGTCTTGCTCTCTAACAAGTCATGGTAGAAGTATGAACAGCACTGAAAAGACAAGGTTTGGGGTCTAACAACCCGTAAAAAGTTGTTCGGGGTTGTGTTGCAATCAAACGTTCAATAATGTGCAGACACAAAGCATTGCTCGGGGTGCTATTTTGGTTCTTGCGTCGCTACTACAACACAAGCATCAACCATGTTAACAGCTGATAGCAGATCAGATCCAGGGTGATTAACATGATTTAGTGCGAACCCCTCGGAGCGATCAACAGGAAGGTATTTGTAACCCTCTGAGATATTGAGATAACTCTCAATAACGATTCATGTCTGGAGATGTTTTTGCGTCCCTGAATCAAACACACACATGTTCACATACCTCAAACCTCAATCAATTTACCATACCTGTCTTTTTGTGTTTTAATCAGCTATCCAAATCATAATTTATTGATATCACTGACGTCCTCTTTTCAAAACAATGTGTTTCATTCACCTTTCAAGCCCTGGTTTACATTTCACTTCCTTGTAAAAAGGTAAAGATGTAAAACTTGCATGAGATAATGTATCACAGTTAACAATCAACTTCTAGTCAGCATGATACTAAAGTTGAAAGGATTATGGAATTATTAATTGACCAACAGAAACATTGTTTGCTGTGATGAATCATCTGACGTCTTGTCTTCGCAAGCTCATTTTCTTACTGTAATGCAATCAGTGGAGACCATGACAAACAATGTAAAAGTTAACTTGAGTGCAAAGTTCACGAGCAGCTGAAGATGAGAGTCCACTTTAATTGAACTATGAATAAAAATAATTTTACTCTGATAAGACAAAACACAATCAAAATTGTGTAATTCTCAATGACCACATAAATTAAATAAAATCAACAGTCTCACAAACAACCATGGTTGCTGATAATTGAATGTCTGTTGTAAACTTTTGGCTGCTGGTGGTCAGGTGAGCAGTTCTCTCAGTTCAGTTAATGCCTGAGATGATTTTCACGAGTGAAACCATCGTGTCAAGTCTTGGACCACATCGGTCCGGCCTCTGGTCCTCCTCACCGCCCTGCAGGCCGTACAGTAGTGGTGAGCCCAGAAGCTGGGCTGGTACACACTGTAACTCCCCCTCCAGTCCAGGTGCCGCCTCAGCTGGGCCGGGTTGTGCCTCAGCATCAGCAGGTACCGGGCCAGCCCTCGCACTGTGGAGAAGTCGTCCACGTGGATGAAGGCCTCAGGGGGCAGGAAGCGCTCATAGTTCTTCCTGGATGGACCCAGGACCACTGGGACAGCACCGGCCTGCACCGCGTTCCACAGCTTCTCCGTGATGTAGTCGGTGTGCTGGGAGTTCTCCAGCGACAGGTAGAACTGGTACCGTCCCACCAGCCGCACCACGCTGCCGCCGCCGCTGTCCTCCGGTACCGGCCGGCCCGAGCGCCCGAACACATCCACCTGTACGTACCGCCGGAGCTGGTAGTAGAGGGACACGCGCGCATGGGACTCCGACCAGTTGCTGATGACCCAGGCCAGGAGGCGGGGCCGGAGGAGGTGTGAGCGCGAGGGTGCGCGGAGCGGTTGCGCAAAGCGGTTCTGGAGACCCTTGGTTCCGTGTTCACGGTGGACTAGATATCCGTACGGCAGGAAAATATCTGAGTCCGTCCGGTAGGTCATCGTGAGGTTGAAATAGTCCTCAAAGAGCCACAGTCTGTGTGTGTGCGTGGGGGACTCGTAGTTCATCCATATCCACTTTTGTGCGCGTGGCCGCGGTTCCGGTGGCAGCTCAGCCGCGCCGGTGGCAACGTCGCGGTGGTGAATAATCACAGCGTCAGCCCGCGGGTACGCGCTCCCTTCGTCGGTGAGCGTGCACCCGCCAATCTGAAAGAGCTCAAAGCAGTCCGGAAGTTTGCGGTACCGACCGAACGGATGCGTCCAAATCAGGAGCGTCACCTCGCTGTTGTCCTCAGCGAAAGACGGTTCTAGTGCGAGCGGGTCCGGTAAGTAGAGCAGGCAGACTCCCACGAGGAGCAGGAAACCGACGGCGGCCACGCACACGTAGGAGCAGGTCTTTCTGAAGACAAGCAGGCCCACGCCACCTTTCTGCTCCCTGTCTGCCCGCTGAGCTGTGGTCGTGGAGCGGCCCGCTGCTCCCATCGACGCCCTTCACTCTGCAGCCCCCGCCCCCCCTCCCCTAAGTCCAGAAACCTCTACAGAGTCAGTGTCTTTGTCCAGAACGTAGGCCAGCAGACTCGGCCTAACTACTTCAAACTTTCTCAGGAAATGTAGCTAGAAGACATAAACCATTGCAGCCTGCGGACACACCTTAGGGTCCTGTAGTTGGACGGTCCTGCTTTACACGTCATTGTGCCGGGTGAGATAAGGAGTGCAGATAACATTAGGTCAGATAGTCTGACAATGGAGCCACTAGTAGCTACGCGACAAGCTTCTCCGTCGCATTGTTGTCCTACCTGCTCTCCTCAACAGAGTCAAATAAAACATTTGCACTCGCGCTGTTTGCTCTCAAGCATTTTGACGTGGCAGCGTTAGTCCGGGTTCTTGTTACCGGTGAATGGGGCTTTTGTGCGGCCGGCCTGCCTCCCTGGGTAAACAGCAGGGCGCGGCGTCCTGCTGATGATGGGAGCAGAGGTGATTTTTGTGAAGCACAAGGCATATTTTTCATTTAGCTTGTAAATCACTCTGAAGCATAGACTGTTATTTTAAGGTTGAGATATAGGGTTTGGAGAATATACAACACTGGAGCCTAATTTTAGAGGGATAGCGATATTAAATTAATTAGTGAATAATCCCTCGTATCTCATTGCCTAATGACTCATCATTTTGTACTTGTCAAGATAATAAAGCATGTAAGAAGCCCCTCAACCATCCATTTGTCCCCATATAAACGTGTTACACGTGTCCTCCACCACTAGGTGTCTCCCTACACAAGCACAAGGCCACCCTGAGCAGCATGTGCTGTGTACTGACATTGGGATTTGGGATGTTCAATTTAACCAATGAATAAACATTTCAACTGGAAATTAGACAGGCAGCAGCGAGGCTTTGAAAAGGTTTGTCTTGAATGTTTTATTTATTAGATATGACCCAGCATTGCAACACCAGCTAACTTAATAAATGACTCACAGTTTTAATTTGTTGATCTAACAACAAATACAGGAATAATAAAAACACAAGTCTCCAGATAATGACACATTACTCTCTGTGAAAAAGGGATCAACTGTCCAGGTTGTTGATGTGTGAGCGCCTTCTGATCAAAACTCATGAAAAAATGATGAGGCGGCGGGGTTGGAAATCCTGCACTGTGTGTTGTGTCTGATCTCTGGTGGGCAGGAAGAACACGGCGTGGCTGGGACAACATTATTCCTCCCCACAGACACAGAGCATGTCATGAAGTCTGAGTGGGGGAAAAAAAATGGCAGACAAGGAGGAGTGGGAGGAGATGAAGCAAGAAGCATGGGTGTCTCCACTGGGTCCTCCTCCTTCCTGTTACATCCATTCACTTTTCTTCACCGTGGAGCAAGAAAAAAAATCTCTTTGTGTGTCTGTGTGCGTGCATATATGTGTGACTAGTTATCCCCATAAGAGGTTTTGTATTCTTCCTGCATTATTTATCCTCCCTTTCATCTGAACAGTTCTATTTTCAGCCATCATTTAATGCCCTGCCCGGGGTTATCTTGTGTTGGGAAGAAACGCAGCAACCTCATAAGTTATGGAGACATGGTGAGGCTCAAGCATTATACACACATGTATGTCTTTCCACAGAAATCGCAGAGGTGGCTGAGGTCGGGAAGTGACACATGGGAATGGGTTTTGTTTGTCTTCTTTCAGTTTTGTTTATTCAAATCCGGTTTTTTTTTTTTAGTCAGCACAAAACCAAGCGAATGTTGCTGGAAATATGCTATAATTAAAGTTGCACTGATTGGTGATATGGAGACATTTTGTTCCGCTCAAAGTACAGCCAGCGTCGCGCAGAAAGCTTGGCATTTATGTGCTCCAGTTTTTTTGCATCTCTCTAGAAAATAACTTTCTTTTATTTGTTTTTGCATACCTTAAGTCTCCACAGAGTGATCAATATCTCGTCTTTCTCGGTTCGATGTGGGACATCCCGGGTCATTTTATATGAACAGTGTCAGCCATCTTTAAAGGAATAGGGGATGAAACTTCACCTTTTAGTGGTATTATAGGTAAAAAAAACTACACTTTTTCTCTAGCTTTGTACATTCTCCAAGCCCTTGTTTACTGCTACCTTCCTGTTAGTCAGAGAGGCTACCACTGTGTATTGGTATGTGTTTGTGTGAATCATACCAGCTCAGAGTGAAGCATTCAGGTTTTTGATGGGACCCCCAGGTCTTCACTCATCTTCCCTATTGATTTTCTCTTGCTTTCCTCTCTGCTCTCCCAGGGGATGGGATGTCTCAATTGGTCCCGGACCGGAGAAGGGGAGCGTGAGCGATAGACAAACAGATAGAAGTAGAGGGAAAGAGAGAGAGGAGGAAGCAGAAGGAGGGGCCTGCGAGCTCCCTGATCACAGAGGCCCTTGCTGACCCCTGACCGTGATCATGACCTCGGAGGTTACCCCAGAGGTTAGAGGTTGTGTGAAAGTGCCACCGCGGCGATTCACTCCACTGCTGGGTGATGATGATCTTATGCAGCCTCCCCAGCCTGTCTGACATGATCAGTGTTGCTCTCTGCCTGCAGCTCCCAAGGGCCACGCATCCATCTCTAACCCGGCCACACAGGGCCCGCTAAAAGCACCTTGCAGGCAGAGTCAATGAGCGGGAGGAGAAGCGACACAAAGAGAGAAAAAGTGGGAAAGATAAAGGACAGAATGGCTGTTTTATTTTCTACCCTGTAGCACTGTCGACAATATTGGATCGAGTTGTATAATGGCACCGACACAAAAAATGTGTGTTTACTTCTCTGTGTTTAAACTTTAACCAAATGTACATGAACTGATGAGGCTTTTTCAGAGGCTAAATCTGTGGGCATCAACATGTTCCTGCTGCTGTCCTTGTCAAGAACAATTTAGGCTGTTTTATTCCCCCCTGCTCTCTAATTGTAACATAAAATGTAATAAAAAGACAAGCGAGGGAAAAAAACCCTCTTAAGTCATTCATGCCAGGCGTGCATGAGCGTCTGTAGCAGGAACATGATAATTTGTAGGTGGATTGATAACTCCGACTCTTACTTGTTCTGACTAACACCGTGTACCCCCTGCTGCTTCAAAGTAATCCAGAGCCGAGTGAAGCTTCTGTCAAATCCTTGTGGAGATACTGTGTGCTGAAATTCTGAGCGTTTGAGAAGAGCGCCTGGCAGTGCAAAATCAACTGATTTGTCATGTTCACAGTGAAGTCTGTATTTAGATAATTTTATATAAAGAAATACGGATATCACTGGTAGTCGAATGTGAAGCAGAATTAAACTAAAAGTCAAAGATCTCAGGTCACATTATAGAATCAGACTATGGTGTCAAAGAAGAGAAAATGTTTTGTCCTTAATGTGTTTTACGTTTCATTGTATGATGAATTTTGAGGCTGCACTTTAGAGTGCAATGTCTTCTATTTTCTGATGATTTATGTTGGACGGACGATTATAAACAATGTGAACTGTTTTTAAAAAGGGAAAATGTTTCCTTTGTTTGTTGTCTAATATTAATGGAAGAAGTTATATTCTTGTTTCACCACTGCAGCAGTGTTTTTGGTGTCTTGTGGGCTGGGCACTTGTATGTCCATGACACAATAAATAACAGAGTAACTATCCCCTGACAGTATTTAAAACTTTAATTATTGTGTTATCCAAAGAATAAAGTTAAAAGTCAACATTGTTAAATAGACATAAAAAGAATCTCAACACAAAGACCATGTATTTTGGAGTCACTTTCGGACGTTATTAGTTAATGATAAAATATTGTTGAATACTTTTAATTTCAAGGTAATATCAGCCCCATAAAAATAGATGTTCCTTTTCGTTGTGTGTTTTCTTTGTGTAGGGTATGTCTATATAAATAATAGACACACTGCAATGCTACTAAGCCTGTAGGGATTAACTCAGACCTGTATTTCTGGTTTGGCTTAATGATAGGTGCATCACAAGTCATGTTGGCCCGGCCAAGGAAACACTGATTAACATGGCAGAAAGGGAAAAAACGAGAGGATTTAACACAGGATTCATGGGTTCATATGCAGTATTTTGTCTGAAAAGTATTCATTATTTATCTCATAGTACAGACCAGTTGCTCATATATTTTTTGTATAGAGAATCACGATAAAGAAGTCATAGTATCGCCTTTAAAGCAGCTCTTGCTATGTTATTAAGAGTAATACACGGAAATTTTATTAAAGGCACGTGACTGGGGGTCATGGCCAGTCTTTAATTCGCTTTAACATGTTTATAAATGAAGTATGAAATAAGGCAAAAGCCATTGAGGTGACACGTCAGTTGAGCACTGAGCACCATTCATAGTGCTGAAGGAGGGAGACACAAACAGCTTCAAATCAAATCAAGTAATGACCTGAAAGTCAAGCTCATTCAAAGCACAAAAATGCCCACCGTTGTGCAGTGAAAGAGCCGTGATTATCTATGGCAAATTCTTGTGTTATTTATAGTGAATGCAATTAAAGTGCAATGACTGAAGAAATGAAAATGATTGTTGAGAAAAAAAACGATATAAAATATTTATTTAAGAAGGCTGTACCCTTTGAGCATTAAAGAAAAAAAACAACAACTCCAAAGCCTGAATGCAGGCGTTGATTTTTCCCCCCACACAGCCAAGGCCCCACAACACACTCGACAAGTCACATTTGAGAACCCACAAAATGCTAAAAATAAATAAAACAACGCACAAACCAGATGTGTTGCCCTGATAAACTTGAGCAGCTCGACTCCGGTTTGCAGAGCAACTGGAGGCTGCAGCTGAGGCGTGGTGTGTTTGAAGGTGCTCAAACGGCACAGTTTGACGCAGGAATTTAGGGCACTCCATACAGACATACAGTGTAATTAGAAATTCTTTGTACATCCACAAGCTTCGGGGGGGTCAGAGGACATGGTCAGCAGTGGTGACGCCTCGGGAGCAGCCAGGGATCAGTGTGTGTTGCTCAAGGTCACTTCAACAACAGAGATGTATGCGTACTGACACT